CAAAAATGATGCCTACATGTTGAAATCACCATTTGGGCATCATTTGGCTATGTCTACATTTAAAAAGTCAAATGTAGGCATCATTTTATTACGCCTACATAATGTAGGGGTCAATTTTCTGCGCCTGCATTTCGAATTTGAGCGCCTACATTCCCATTTTCACATTCAGGAACACCCCAGTTGGCCTTGGGGTCTGCGAACTCTCCAGCGTGCGGGTATTCTGAGCTCAACTCCTGTTGTAGCCCAGCTAATTCAGTGAAGCTGCCCAAGATTTTCAAAAAACCAAAAAAAACAGAAAGTCACTAACGGTCCGGGGGTTACAGTCAGTCTGTTTGGAGCTGGTGAATCTTTTTGGTTCATGATGTGAATGAGATGGTGAATAAGAAAGTCTTGGAGTTGTAAACCTGACTATTGGTATGTTTCCAGGTGGTGCTACGGCGGGAAGGGCAAGAACTAATCTAGCCGCCCAAATGTGTCATTCAAAATCCAAAAGCAGTTGACCTGTGGTCAAGAAGATAGAGGAATTGTGTTTGGAAGGCAAAAATGAAAACAGCACCAAATCTTCTATTGTTGGTCTGCGACAGAAGATGCTGGTGGTTTTAGGGCTGTGAACCGGACCCGGCCCGGCCCGGCCAACTCTGCCCAACGTCTTTCACAGAGCTGACGGTACGCGCCCTGGGGCATCCATATCCTGCTTGATGACAGCTGAATATGGCCCCGTAGGCGCTTCAGGCGGCTCAGGCGCCCAACCCGGCCGGGGTGCTGACCCTTTTTTTGCCAAAAAAACGCCTTCACGCCAGTCTCTTACCGTCCCTGAGCAGTTTTCTGAGGTCATCGGGCTCACTCAGGGCTGAATTTGGCCACGGGGCCGGCCCTGAACTCTCAGGGTCAGGTCACAGCCCTAGGTGGTTTTGGCGGGATGTGGCTCACATATTTTGCCTATCTTGACTGTGCGCATGAACCCCAAGGCCGTTTTTTCAAGTGATATTTTGCCAACCTGTCTGAAAATGACTGTACATCACGGTTTGTGTTACGCATCTGTGGATTCTCTAATTCTACCAAAGCAAAAACAGGCTTGGTGTGAAACCCAAGGCAGGGGCCAAAAGAAAAATATTACTTTAATAATGAGAACACACCCTACAGGCTGGCTAGCAGACACATAACTACAACATTTAAAACCAACTCAAACTTGACTATAAAAATGACAATGAAAATATTCTAACTGAATAAAAATGAAATATAACTCTCAATGAATGAAAAATCAAATAATACTTCTGGATGAATAAAAAACCCTATTCAACTGGAAAAAATCAAATGAAAAACCTGCTAAATTGGCTAATGAATAACTAACTAAACTTGCTAACTGATAAAATATCATGAATGTACTAAAACACCACACAAACAGGGAGATAGGAGGGTGGGACAAAAGAATTTGAATCAACTCAGAGAAAGAAGATCAAATCTTTGATAACAAAGATTGGGTAAGAAGTATTGATGGAAGTAAACATGATGGGAAAGTTGCCAAAGGATGTGATCAACAGCTATGACATTGTCATAGATGTGGATCCAATATATCATATAAGATATAAAAATGTACAACAGACTTGCATGAGTTTGTCCAACCATCTTCTGTCCTGGTTAGGACCACATCAGGTTACTTTTGTCACTTTTTGTTACTTTTCAAGTTTGTTTTGTCCGTTGAAGTTTGGCTTGTAGTTGTGCTTTAGATTTGCTTTTTGAGTGCAGGTAATGATTATTTTTCAATTCCATTGCTGTGCTTAGTATTCTTGTTTTTGTGATTATCAAGATTCCTTTTGGCTTTGGTGGTCATCAGCTGTGCTTCTTGAAAAAAAAACAATGTACCTTTCCTTGTTGTGTTGTGGACATCCTGCTTTCAGTCTTGATTTCTCTTTGTCTCTTTACTCAATGGTGAGTGTGCTTTTTCTAACAGGCTCTTTTGTCAAGCTTATGGGTGTCAATTTCCTTTGCTTCATTGGGATTTCTGCCTTTGTTTGAGAGACCTTCAATCTTTGATATCACCTTTTGGAAGCCTGCCCGCAAAAGTCGTGTTCTCCACACCCCTTACTCCTGCTTTCCATCCATATAAAAAGGTGGTGTCTCCCATGCAATTTAATCCCCATAATCATGCCCATCAAAAAGTTGTAAATATATATCCAACACCTTCTAAATTAACCATTTGCCTTGCTTAACACCTAATTATACAAAATCATCTTGTTGTATTCTGTCTCTGCGGGAACTCTCTCAACAACTGCTGCGTGCCCCACCTACTGTCTGGTGTCTTTGTTTCTGTCTTGCTTTACTGCACCCTATAACCAATGAACACTCTGTATAACTATTTACTTTCCCTATCCTCTCAGTTTACCTTTGTGTACCTGCCACAGTCACTGCATCTTTATATCAGCAAATCATGTGTCATGCAGTTATCCAAATGTGCTTCCAACAATTTTCAAGTCCCAATCAATACATACATCTTTGCCATATTCCTGTTCAATTCTTTTGCTCTATTTCACCCTGAATCTCCTTTGCAACCCAACCACCTGTTTCACTGCTAATTAAGGCTTGTTCATTCTATTTTGAGTGAGGATTTGTGTTATTTTTGGTGGTTTCCATTGTGGTTATGTCTTTGCAGCATTATCTAGTCACATTAATATTTTCTATCTTTGATTATCCAATTATTGTTATTTTATTTGGTTGTAATGAAGTTGGCTCCCAAGGTTATTTCATTGGTTCATTTTTTCATTGGTTGATGTTGGCACTATTCTCAAAATTCTGGTTCATCTATATTAGTTTCATATTTCTCATCTTTTGGCATCAGCTTTTTTCATAATTTTTGACTTCTAGCCACTCCTTAGGGGGTTGTATCATTATCAGCCATTTTTATTGACCCAAGCATCTAGCCTTGGGATTCACCCACAACCACTTGTCCACTTCAATAATTTTCACACTTTGACATTATAATCTTATTACAGTAAAAATCATGCTTTTGCTCAATGTGCCATTGAATTTGAGTGTTAAAAGAGAAACTAAGTACCTTTAGCAAACTTGATTGGTCACCTAAGGCATGCCCACATCTTCACTAGTCTGAATACTAAAAAGATGGACCACTTGCATGAGTTTTGGTCCCTCCTCTTATCCGCCCATCAGTTCTGACTTTGAATTTCTGGTTGCATTGCTTTTTAGGCCACCTATTGTTATTGGAGCTTTTGTATGCAGTTTGAGTTCTGGTCCGTGTGATATCACAAATCCCCGTTCACCTATTGTTCTTCCCCTCCTTTTGTTAAACACTTTTAGACTACTTTTCCTTTTTATTGTTGTGTGCTTTTTAAATGTTAAACACCGTTCTTCTTGACAAATCCTCTCCGGATTTGTCCTCCTACATTGTATGCCGGATCCAGTTGTATTGGATCCAGCCCTCCATAACCGAAGGAGTTATGTCATCAGAATTGCCCGATTGTACTCTCTTGCTATTTACCATATATGTGCTTTGTAGAGAGTGACGCCTATATAAGGTGTCCTCCCCTTGCTCCAGGAATGAAACCCTAAGCAGCTTCTCAATCTTCCACCGGACCAAAAACCATTGGACAATCACATCCGTTTGATTTTTATGCCACCTTTTGTCATTGCAACCTTGTCAATGCATCTTTGTTGAGACTATCTCACCTCCTCATCTTAGTTTTGTTGTGCATTTGCTTTACCCTGCAACATTCAAATGGACTTTTAGAGGCCACTCTTTGTTATGTACACCTTGTAATTCCGGAACTCCTGTTTTCTCTTATTTGACTTTTATGCTTTTTGTTGAACACTTTTGATGGAAAAGACATTAGAATTTTCCTCAATGGATTATTTTCCTTTTATATCTTTTGCATCATATCTATTTATCTGTTTCTATATTTGGGATTTACATCTAAATCCCTTTACTCATATCTTCTCTAAACTCGGATTCTCAAAGTTGAATCCTCATGTTGTAAAATTCCATACATTGTATTTACTTTTACGGACTGTAGTGTTTTTTGAAAACACTTATAAGCGGATCCATTTCCCACTGAAATGAATCCCCAAGTAACTTTACTTACTTCTTTTTCAAAGCACTGAAAATGTGTACAAATCACAACCTTCATGTGTCCCCTGCTTCATTCTACCGTAGTCTGCTTTTGGATTTCTTCATCTAATACAATCTTGTGAAACCTGTCAGAGCAGGGATCAGTATGATTCAGACTCAATCAATTGAATCTAAACAGAATCCCACAACCACAAGTTACTCACCTTCAATCCAAGATTGTATGAGAAATTTATGGATGAAGGGAGAAGAGCTTGAGGCGCTCTGTCAGTACTAACGGTACACAAATTTGTGTATACTTTGCCGTGCATATTTTTTTTGTGTTTTTTAGCAACTACAAACAACTTGGAAAAAGTATGTTTCTTGATTGAAGCTCAAAGATATGTACTTTTAAGCCAAAAACATAGTTTTCCCTGGTTGTGTGAATTTGTGAAAAAAGAAAAGAAAACTATGCACAGCAAAGTATACACAACTTTGAGTACCATAACTACTGTTTATAAATAAAACAATAAGTGGTACATAGTTTTTGATTAGGTTTAAAAGTCTTACACAATAATCAAAATACATACATATGACAATTGAAATAAGTGATCAAGGAACTCAATGATGTTGAGCACATGACATGTGAGGATGTGAAATATATGTAAACGTCAAGTAAAAGGTAAAAACACCAGATTGTAACATTATCTCCATGTGATGCTTTACTTCAAAAATCAGTTTGTACTACCTGTCTTTTGAAAAGCATTGGGATCAAGCTTTCAAAGCATCTACTCATGTAAGTCTCTTGATTCATTCAAACTACAGTTATTCCTTGGAAGATTGATATGGTGCCAGTCAATTCTTCTTCTTTTTTGTCATCCATCCATTTCTCTTTGAATCTGACTTTGATCAATATCAAAAATGTGCCTCTTTGACCTCCCCAATGAGATGCTCTGCTTTACATAAGAACAGTCATGTTGTGATCAAAGGTAGGCAATGCCAAATGAGTCAATCCATCAATTTAAAACAAGACCATTATCAGTCTAAAATCCTTGAATCTTTTTCTTCAGATCATCATGTCATGTCTCCCAAGACTGGAAAGCACAGTCACATCAAGGTTTGTTTAATGGTTGTGATCAATACCTTCACTGACAAGAGATGAGAAGATATCTCTCCTTTGACTCACAGCATGAATGTTCCTAATTACATCATCCATGATAGATACCAACTTCTTAACATTGAGCATGGTTGAACTTGATCAACTTGGATGGTGGTATGTATCTTCTGGAACTTCTCTGTTGTTTTTTGCAATTTTCATCATTGTTGACTTGGTTTCTGTGTCTTTGGAAGAACCACAACTCACGCTGTGGTCTTCAAGCCCACAGTGACTACGGAGGTGAAGGGAATGCATCAAAACACACACAAAGTGTAAAGGTTTTGGGTACAGGTAATAAGCCTGATTGACTCCGTGTTGTATGTTGTTCTGGAATTCAGGTGAACTGTCAACCACAGAATTAGGGAGTTTAGTTGGTTTGACAACTCTAGTGCAGGCATGCCCCCATAGTCTAGAAAAAGACCGACCCTTCACTTACAGGTTCACTCTCACATGTAATCAATCCAACTCCCAGTACAGCGCTTCAAGAATCCTTCGGTTTATTTGGTGGTCTTTTTTTTAAAGTTTTGGACAAAACTCGGAAAAAACTCATTTGGACAGTTCAAATTTGACAGATTCTAGTACAAAATCGGTTTCACCGAGGGTTTTAGCGAGGGTTTTGGACATTTATTTTGTTTTCATGCGTTAAAAAAAACCGAAGGATTCTTGAAGCGCTGTAATTCCACACATGACATCATAGCTTTGATACAGCCCTTGCAAGCTTGAGCCCTTTCATGAGGATCTGTTTGTTCTTTTGCCTAATCTGTGCCATCACTTAGAAGAAAAACCAATGCGTTGATCATGGGGAGGCAGGCAGGTGCTGAGTGAGAGGTAGAAGGGCCATTTGTGGCTAAAAAGCTGGTGCAAACACTGGTGAAGCATCCTGCCAACCCCTCTTGTATTGTAATATTCATAATCCATTCTCGGGCTCCGCAAGTTTGGAACACTTTCTAGTATCACCAGGTGCTACCCAGTTTTGAGAGGTTCAATTATGAGCTAGCATTTGGTCATCCATTAATGTGGTGGAAAGTTCTTGGGTCTTTCAAGGCTTTTTGTTCTTTGAAAGGTAAACCCAGTGTTGAAGATGGTCAATTTGACTCTCAACATCATGCTTGAACAATCAGTGTTGGTGATCCCCTACAAGAGTGCTACTCATGACACGATCTGATATGTTGTTCTGTGAGGTAATTTCAATTAAGATCAATGCTTGAATTCAGCAGATGTGCTCCACAGGAAATAATGATAACCTGATGAGGCCAACTGAGAGGCAGCATTTAGTAAAACGTATGGTGAACAGAACATACACCAGTCGTAGAATGAGTTCATCGGTAGTGCAGGGTTTCAAGGAGCAGAAAGCTGGTCTGAAGGTCACAGTTATACCATTCAGGGAAAGATAAATAAATGACACTTTCTTTTGCCTCCTGAAATCAACATGATCTCAGCAAAATATCGGTTCAGAACAAACTAAATCGTTCCAAGGCTGGCATTCGAAGTAAGATCGGATACGATATACATGAGATTCAGCCAAGATAAGATACACTCGTCAAGATGAGGGGTGAGGAGATACATATTCTGAGAGGCTAAAATGGAGTTTAAATCACGTTTATTGGGTCACGGCTTTAGTCAAGAAGTAAGCGTATCTGGTGCATTGTTGATGATAAAAACTTTGTCCGTCGTAGAAAAGATATTTTCAGGATAAAAAGCCAAAGCTTTGCGAACATGCAATTTTTCATATCGTTGGTCTTCAACGAGACTCATGATATTTGGTTCCAGAACGCGTGTCGAGCCTTTTCAAGCTCAGACTTGCCAGCCATATCTTCAACGCTAGTACCACCATCGACTTCAAAGACCGTTCGGAATGGTGCAGCAATATCATATTGTGGCCAAGTAGATTCTATTTTAAATTCAATAATGTCAGTCTATTAGATTTAGGCGCTCATATTCTCGCATATACTGTAGGAAAACGCGCCGAGGATATGGAGAACAACTGACCAGGACACCCAGATTTAGCAAAAGTGTACCAGTACTTGCCCATCAAAGCCGAAGTCTTCGCATTGGTAGAATCTTCCGACCAGGCCCCTTTGATATTGAAAATGAAAGGAATGTCGACCGAATGACTGAAGATGAACAACAAGGATGTCGTTAATTTCCCGTTGTGCTTAGCACAATGTCAGATAATCCGATGAAGTTCACTTACAATGCGCCTAAGCCTCGTCCGTCCTCAATCTTATCTACTGTAGCGCTTAATTTATACATATACACCGAGAGACGTTCACCGGTTTGAGCATTAGGAGTGGAGCTCAAAATGTTGGCACAGTTTTCTGTAGGTGCGTTGAAGGCTTGATCGGATATAAGCTGACATGCCACACTAGAAGTGTAGTCTGAAGTTCCTCCAGATTTGCTATCCGGGAAAACCGGGGGATAAAGCTTATCGAGATGCTCTCGTGGTATTTTGGAATACATTCTCTCACACATGAAGTCGTATCCGCCTTTTGAAGTGGCTTGTAAAAGCATCACAAACATACTTCCTTCGTCTTTCGTCACGCCTAACATCACTGATTTGACATATGGACTCCATTTGCCTTCTTTCAAAGCATCGTTTGATGAAGCAGTAGTCCAAATCCCTTTACTAGACTGTTCAACTGAAATCCCTAGGGTGCCGAGGGTTTGAGGAGTGTATTGTAAGAGTTCATCGGCTGGGAGTGATCGGAGAGCTGCGAGACGCTCGGCTTTGGAAGTGGTCTTCAGAGCTTTGTCACATAGTTCCTCGTAAAACGCGTCAGCCGATTTAGGGTCTTTGTTAGGCTTTGTGTTGGATTCAAGAGGAGCGTTAGTAAGCGATGGGTAAAAAGGGATGAAATGGAAGTTTGTATAACTTCAATAAAACTTACCATTGTACCAGGAGTACCAGATTGAAGGATCGCGTTCTTGAAAAGTTTCTTCTGGCATAAGAGAAGATTTGAAATCATCGCACCACCTGTTTTTCAAAGAAAACATGCATATGGATGGTCAATCAGTTTTGATCCAAATGGCGAGGTCATATGAGTACGCATACCAGCTGATTCCCCAAAGGCAGTCACATTGTCTGGGTCGCCACCAAACTTTGCAATATTGTCTTGGACCTGGGGGAAAACGTGATGTTGATATGCGATTCATACAGTGGGATGAGGTAAAATTTCGACATGTAATGACTTACCCACTGAAGATAAGATATACAGTCATAAGCACCTGGAAAATGATTCAAAGCATTAGCTTAGGCCAGCGTTTTGTTTCCGATTCTAAACAACTCACCATAATTTCCTGATAATCCATCCTCATCCTGGGCCGCCAATTCTGAAGAAGACAGAAACCCGAACAGGTTCAGTCGATAATTACCCGTCACGACGATAAACTTTTGTCCTTCGGCAGCTTCTCGACGAATCCATTCGGTAGGATCGTAGAGCGATAGACAGGCACTCCCGTACAAAAGAGCACCTCCACTGAAAGTCGGATATAGTTTTGATTTCATATTTAACAAATCAACACGTTGAATATAAACAGTGATCCGGCCTTTCCAGGCTGCGTTCATCACTTACTGAATCCAAACCTATAGTAAATCCAAATTCACGATTGGTGAATATGTTCGATAAACCATTGAGTTTCATGACATGGTTTCAATGAGTAATTTGGACCAGGTGGACCTACCAGTACGGGAACTTTATCGCCTGCTTGAACCCCATCAGGTAGGAAGACATTCAAGTTGTGACCTTTCTCTTCTGATTGCTCTCGCCAAGCTCGGGGGTGAAGTCCTGCCTTTCCCAAATAGAGCAACATAGCGGGATCTGGTTGTTGTGGAAAGTATGGGCTAAAACCAAAAACGCGTGAGGTTATTTTCAAGATGACTTAGATTCCTGGCAAGATGACTTACCCGAACTCATGGCACGGAAGAGGTTCCTTCCACGCTTTTGGAGGTGTAGGACGTTTCCATCTTGCTGCTTGAGCATAAGGTATTCCCTTGAAATTTCAATGTGAGAGTGATAGAATGCTCATGAGAAGTCAATCGAATGCGAATTGAGGAGAAAGGCTGAACGAACAAGCCACTTGTTGATCGGGAGCTGATCTCCGATTTGACCACTTGCTACACTTGAAGCTGTCGATCGATCACTGAGTGGATGAGTATCTTGAAACCCGACCACTGGCCCAAAGCTGGTGTGAACCAAAAGCTTATCGTTGGAAGACATGAATGAGTAACTGGAAGTGAAGATAGATAATTGGTCAAGAGTCTCAAGAGGTGATGGTTAGTTTTGGTTCAAGACTCAAGAGTAAGTTTGATTACCAACAAAACCTCAACTAAACTTAAACGAGAGTTTACAACTTTCATCCAAGTTTGGATATCAACACTCTCTCCAGATCGTCATCCATTACATTTTTGTAACTAACCATTTACAATCATCTATCTCCGCGACTTTCATCCGAAACTGCTATTTGCACCACTCCCTTTGCCTCTGTCATTTACAAATTAAGCTCGAGATTGGTCATTTCTATGATTCTGCACGTAATCCGATTGAACTGATTGGTTCTTGAGCTTCATTTATTCCTCTTTCTTAAGCTGAGGATGGTCAACAGGGGTAGAGATGACCTGATCAAGAGTTTGGGGAAGAGGTATCACCTATAAGAGTAATTTCAGGTGATCGGAAATCCCCTAAAGGTAAGCGCAATGAAGTGAATGGATATGATGCAAGGTGTTTTTCGTCCTCGAGCACATGAAGTGCAAATTGGCACATTCTGAACCCTACAGAAGGTACCCACATCCATCTGATCTCTTTGAAAACCTTCAAACAACATATCATCCTAAATCAAAACTTATTCACACCACTTTACATGATTTTACCCAGAGAAAAACAAACACAAAAACGAGATGCTAAACCCCCCTGTTTGGGTCCCTATCGTAGAAAATATAATTGAAAACATACGAATCGATTAACACATCTTAATTTGAAAGAATCGGTTCAAGGAAAAGGGATAAGTCAAAGAAGATCGAACGTCTTTAGCTTAATTTGAGACGGAAGGATTAAGACCTATTCTTGCTGCTAGTTTACTGTACTGTCGATTGATAAGTAATCGAGTCCGTAAAACGTAAGTGACTAATGAAAGGATAGTAATGATGACATTACAGAGCTATATGCATCAAATCGTTTTCGTTGTATAAGAAGAGTTTATCAAAAAGAAATCAAAATCGTTGACTTGAATCGATCAAAATCCTAAACCTCCAAAACCTTCAAAGAAAAACTTACAAAGAATTCATAAAAATCAGCCCGTTCTTTTGATACTACTCTTTCACAAGCTTCCCAAGTAGGAAATTCAGCACCACCCGAAGCTGTACCAATAGAAGCTTGATGATCTAAATCCATTTCAACTTGATTTTCAATTCCTTGTGATGATTGATGATCATCAGTAGTTTGATTTAGGATCGGTTCTTCCACTTGATCTGAAGAAATCAATCGTTTTAATAATTTAGAAAAAAAGGTGGGTTCAATTTGATGTCTCAAATTTCTTTTATTGATCAATCCAGCCGGATAGGTACCAGGTTGATTTAAGATTGAAGCAATTAAAGCAGGAGACGAACTTCCTAAATAAAGACAATGTACCATTCTTCGATTTTGAAAGATTTCACATATCGGATTTGATAACTTGAAGAGTCGATCAAAAGATTCAAAAAGCTTGGTTAGTGAAGTGTTGAGATTGAGTTCAGAATTGTAGATTTTAGAGTGAAATTGAACTTACTTCTTCTTTTGGACAAGGTTGACATGGTCCTATAGGTCGACAAGCATAATCAGATGTTGAATTTTTAGAAACGTCAGTTGTGGTTGCTGCTGTTGTTGTTGTTGATAGATTGATGATAAGTGAGATTGAGAATAAGATGAAATTAGATTGAGATGATGTTAACATTTTGATTTTAATTTTCATTTTGATCGGTCTTGATTTCAATTTCAGTTTCAATTTCGATTTGGATCGTTTTATTTTCGCTAAATCTGAAATTTTCACAATGTCATGTCGATCGATACCTAAATAGACCATTCAGCAAGTTGCGACCATTCTCATTCCCATTGCAACCTTTGGAACCTTTTCAGGATCTTTTCACTGACTTCAAGTTCGGACATACCTCTGTAGCAGGATTGCCCCCTTGCATGTTACTATCAAACAAGATTTTGATATCTCTCCTGTACGAACGACAGCATCTCACAGCATCCAAACACCCCTTTCATCTATGGCCATGTATCTAACTCTTCATGCTGCAACCCACGCTCAAATAGCGTGGTTTGAAATGGGAGTCCACCACATGCTGGAAGTCATCCGGGGCAAGCCACTTTGTCTTTACAGTTTGACAAGTTGTAAAATCATTTCCCCAAATGGACTTCTAACTCAAAGTCCATAAACTTGTAGGGGAGATAAATTAACTCGTCTCAACATGAGGCATTGGAAAAGAAAATTTAGAGGTGACAAGTTTTTCTGAGCAATTATCATCCAGATCATAAAGCCCTTCTCTCCATACCGTTCTTGCCTCGGTTCTTCCTTTCACAAAGCACAGCGATGCGGCATCACTTTGGAACTAGATAATTTATGCATAAGCCTAATGTAATATATATCTCTGTGCGCCTCATTCGAGTGATTTTGATCGGGAAGACATCTAAAATGAATGAGCTTCGAACCGGGCGATGTTCTTACGCTACAAGTTATTTTTTAAAGTTGCTCTCCATTTGGTCAATCCAATTGCTGGGTCCCATTTCTTTAAACAGGCGTAACATAAGTTGCATCCCTTGTCCGCCTCCATTGTATGCTCTTGTTCATATCTTCTTTTGCTTTCATCGGTGATCTTAGGGGTGGGTCAGGGGGTAAATCGTCCAGCGGTGATGGCCTTCACAGATCATCTGCTGATGGAATTTGATTGATTGGTTTGGCAGACTCTTGCGAGCTTCTTGATACATAACCAAGGTTGCCCTAGCTCAACAGAAGCCGCCTGCAGAGTCAGTTACCAATGCCCCTGGCGCTGTCGGATGAGGGATTAATGTAGTTGACTGGAGTTTGCCAGGTATCAAAGCTTATAATGACTCATGAATGTTGGTCTAATGCTTCTTGCGTATTGTCAAATTAATTATATCAAACATTCCTCAAATTGAGAAAACAACAACAACATCATCATCAACAACAACAACATATAAAAATACTCCAAGCCAAGCAAAGACAGTAAGCCTCAAAACTATATTATCCATACTAAAAGAAAAGAAAAATTATTACAAAATCAAGATATGTACCATCCAACTTCAAGGTGACCTTAGCACCTCATGATATAATACTTATTGCCTTTCAACTTGTTTTAATTTTAATTTCAAACTACTCATTTCACCTTCTAAATCTTCAAATCGATGTCTAGCTTTCACTTCTGATTTCTTCATACTTTCAATCTCATCTTCCCTTTCTTCTAATTCTTTCTTTAAATTTTCAATTTGTTGATTTAAATTAGCGATTTGAGTTGTATATGCTTCAGATCGTTTGGCTAATGCGTGAGCTTTCTCTTCGCTTTCCATCAAGTCCTGCGGAGGTGATAAGTGATCAAATATATAAGTTAATCATTAGGCTTCTTGAACAACGTGTTCTATATAAAAAGCTGGAGGAACGTACATTGAATCTGTCCAACATTGTAGCTGATTGAGTATCAGCATACTCTAATCTCTCCTCTAACTCTTTCACCTAAAAAAACCAACAAAACCATTAGTCCAATTCTTCTTTCACAGGCTGATCAAATGATAAAGTAAATTACCTGTGACTGATATGTCTTCAAAGCTGCTTGACATTCCTCAGCAAGCTTCTGAGCACGAGTAGCATTGTTTTTATACGAGTCTTTTTCAATCTCATATTTGATCAACCGATCTACTAATTTCTTATCACTTTCATTCAATAATTTAATCCTTTCTAAAAAGCTGTCAAAAGTATATTCCGACCCTTCTTCAACTGGTGTTGCTGCTCTTTTACCCAATCCAAACAATCCACCCAGTCCTGATTTTTTAGTAGGTTGTGCTTCATATCCCAGTCTGAAGGCTCCTAGATCTGCATCATGTTCAAGTCGTGCTCTTGTTTCTGCGTTGGCTGGTAAACTCTTGAATAATTCTCGGAGTGCTTTCTCAACTACATTTGCGCTCGTGGTCGCTTCTTCTATTCGTTTTTCAGCAGCTGCCAGTTGTTGAGTGACGGTCTCCAATTCGCTCGATGTTGTGGTTGCTGCCGGAGTATGAGAGGATTGAAGTTCGAAAAGCTTAGTCTCTAGTTCAGCCACTTGAGTTGATAGTATCGTTCGCTCGTCCATCTGAGCTTGAGAAGCTTGTTCATGCGATTGCCTCTCAGTTTCCAGTGTGGACTCGTGCTGGGTAGTGATGATCTTCAAATGATTTTCGAGATGACCGATTAGCTCATTCATCCACTCCATACGTCCTTCCATGCTTATTTGACTCGGCGCTCCCCTCAAGAATTGAGCAAATGATGCGTTGGTCAATGTAACTTGGGTACTAACGCCACTAAATTTCTCAAGAAGTTTCTCCCATTCAGCTGAATGGTTGGAAAGAGGCTCGTCGATGTCGTCTTTCGCTTTCTCTTCTGCTTGTTGGTCACTTTGGGCTTTGAGATCTTCCACGCTTTTGTTGAGAGTGATGTTTTCAGCCTCCAGTTTTTCAACCATCGACCGGAAGTTGTCTAATTGAGCGATGGCTTCACGCCTCTCGGACTCTTTGCTTGACAATTGTTCAGCAAGTGTTTGGTATTGACGCTCAGAATCGGCCTTCTGGTCTGCAAGTCTGGTCACGGCGGCCTGAAGCGCGGCCAGCTCGATTCGGACAGAGTCCTTTGCTTCTTCAGCGGTCTCAAGTTCAGATCTAAGACGGTCTACGTCAGCTTCAAGTTGGCGCTGGGAAGCTTCAGCTGCTCGTGCTCTGGCTTCAGCATCACTAGTCCGGGTTGAGAAGGCTTGCTTGTCTCCACTGAGTTGAGAACGTTCCCGCTCTAGATCAGCAGCAAGGGAATCGACCTCTCGGCGAAGTCGATCAAGTTCCTGGGTGTGGGTCTGATCAGTCTGGTGTCGCACGCGTTCATTCTCTAGTTTGAGTTCACGTTCAACGCGCTTCAAATCATTTGCTTGGTTGCTTGTTCGATTGGTTTCGGCTAATACACTTTGCTGACGTAAGTTGGCAAGTTCGGCTCGAAGCTGTTCAAGATCGCTAGTTTGCTGTGCAATCGTCTTTTCGTACTGGAGTAATTGCCCAGTGTCCAAGGTTAGATTCGAGGCACTACGAGGACTGGGGTGTGAAGCCTGATGATGATCGAGGCCATGGCGATTGTTTGCAAAGAGATGTGGGCCGTCAAATCTATCGGATGAGAGAATGGTGCAGCGGGAAGCATCGGTGAGAGAAGGGCTAGGGGACCGATGTTGATCGGCTTGGCGGTGATTAGATGCCGACCGAGTGGGACTTTGACCGAAGGAAGATGAGTAGTCTGAAGGCTGATTTTGTTCAAGCTTCTTGAGACTCAAAGAAAGGGTAGCTGAGAGATGTTGTAGAAGTTTGGTACTTATTTCACTGAGTTCAGATTGAATGCGAGCTTTCTCATCACGAAGTTGCTCGAGACGTTGGTTGGAATGCTCCAGATTTGAGTCATTTTGATTGACATCAGACTCGGCGAGGGTGAGAGTAGCATCATGAATCTTTTTCTCAAGTACCAGATTGTTTGAAATAGAAGTGAGTCGGTTCTCAAGTTTCATTTGATCCTGATTTGAGAGAGAGGGAGTAGGAAAGTCAGAATGGGTGCACTATCAAGAAGGGAAAGAGGAAAAAATATCAGACCTTCTTTAGCTGCTGGACACGATTGAATGATAAAATTTGAAATGAGCTAGCTTCCACTAGAGCTTGACCAGACAGAAGTTCAAGCATCATTTTGGACTTCAAGTCGGGTCCCAATAAGACATGTTTAGTACTCGGTGAGCGTGCGGGACCTCGGGACGAGTCGGAGAAGGAAGTTGCGGAATCTGAACGATTGCGTTGATCGAGTCGAATTGTTTTTGAGGCTGGCTCGTGAGTATTTGGGAATCGTGTATGAGAAGGAGAGTTTGAAAACGATCCAGCTTGGCTAGAGCCGAATGGTAAACGTTCAGGTGAGAATACATCATCGAGTGAACCGAAGGGATCAGAATTTATTGATTGAGATCGAGAGTTCGAAGGACTGAAGTCAACTTGACTTGAACGAAGGGGATCGGTTTGATAGTTAGTTGTAGAATGTGAGTTGTTGGTAGGACTGGTAGTGTTAGATTGGAACGCGTTTCCGAACATCCGACGCATTTTGCCTTAGGTATACTAGATAATCAGAGTATTAAGTGATTTCTTCTTGATTTGTTGAGGAGTTGATTCAAGACGCATACAAGCAGCGTCGCCCCAAAAGCCACACTGACACCACAATCAGATGATTCGATCTGTAAAGCACCGGTGGTGGTCAGATATGGTGGTGTATGTACGATCGGGTGTTAATGAAGATAGATCTGCGCAGTCAGGTCACAGTATACACACAGCTGAAATACTCCTTGAAGCGTTCTCTCTTGAGCCGGTCCACCTATTAATCCTGATTGAAGCCTTGAAGGGAAGTGAGTGAGTGGTGATTCAGATCAAAGGTACAAAAGATAAATAAGAGGTGAAGATAAAGTGAATGTGGTGCTACAAATCGGTGCCAGTCGTTGAGCTTCGTAGAGTAACAGAGTTGTGGTGGGAATCGGGATTGGAGGGAAGGTGACCAGAGTTGACCCTAAATTATCAAAAAAAGGTCAAAACCACCTTACGGAGCCAAAACTAGACTTTCTGCCTCAATACGATCGCTATGTACCGTATCGCAGGGGGCACAATACATAATAATTAGGATACGTAGCCAAGAGTCAGGTGAGCCAAGAGCTTAACCACCCTGACATTTGATGGAGTTCATCTTAGCCGAGCAGAGAGGGCTTTGTTAAGCTAAGATTTCAATCCAAGGCCACATGGGTGCCAAAGTGCACAAATTGAAGTGTCAGTAAATATCAGTGTTGCAGCCAGAATTTGCAGGTGCTGCAAACTGGTCTATGCAGTCAAACTGCCCTCGTGAGTACCGTAAATAAGGTCAGACAAAGAGAGTTTGAAGCAATCAAACAAGAAAGGTGTGTGATGGACCAATTGGCTGGAACACTCATATTTTCCCACTGAGGATCAAACCTCAAACACCAGTTTTGTGTCCTCCTGCAATGTCACGCCTACTATCATTCTATTATATGTTGGGCATTGAGAAGGAATGATGAAGTTCTTTGCTGCTTTGATGAAGCTTAAACTTCAAAACTTACCACTGAAAACCAAAAAAATACAGGCCTTTCTGTGCTAAATCCAGACAAGAACTGAAATATGAACTTTTTTCAATTTTTCTCCATGTCCAACATATGATGGAATGGTGGTAAACTCTCCCTTAAAGACTATGCAATTGAAATCAGCCAAAAAATGGGGGGTCCAAAATTTCATGGTATGAAGAAGTCATATCCTTTGCACAAATTGGGGGTTCAGCTTGTTTGACCCCAACCAATGATCAATAATTCTGATAGCCTTTTACAGTTTTTGAAATCTATGGACACACTTTAAATAGAAAAAGTGTCATAAATTGTAGGATATGAAACTATTGCCCTTGTTCTGTAAATGTGCATGAGTCTTGTGAATCTTTAGAAGTTTATTCTTTGAAATGATTTTAACACATGGTTCATCATAGTTCTTTGATTTAAAGTGTTTCAGACAAATATAGTTGAAGATCTCTGAGTTTAAATTTTATGTAATTGTGCAAATAAAAACCCTCAACTCTTACAAACCCCAATCCTGACTGATATATTGATATAATATCAAACCATGATACTCACTCAAATATTTAGTCTATGGATTTCATTCCAGTTCTCTTTATCATGGGCCTTGGAAGATCATGAAAATCCAGAATTGGCAAGAAGAGTCTACACAGGGAATTTTATTGATCATGGAATTTCAACAGAGACTTACGGACAAGATGGCCTCTGGAGGATTGATAACCAATACCCAATGTATGCAGATCTTGCAGAGCTTCCAGATGAAGATTTATTCATTGATCATTCAGCTCAGGGAAATGGAATGAACTTAAACATGAACTGGGCCAGTCCTGGTGGAGCTTTATTTCTCTCCAGAACCTCAGAAGAAGCTTCAGGAGTAGGTCATCTCAAAGATCCATATCTGATTGCAGGAAGGAAACTACACAATCCACCAGAGATGACATTTGATATTCAGGAAAAAAATGGCCCAACATTTGAAGAAGGACCCTGTCTCAAGTCAAAAGCATTGCAACAAGTAAATTACCTCAACAAAAATCCACTCCCTGGGAATCAAGAGTATGGAAGTCAATACAACAGCCCACTTTCTGAGACTATAGGCTCTGAAGACTATGAATGTGGAAATAAAAAAATGAGATTAACTTTGAGCAATGTGGAAGGCCAACAAGAAAATCCAATTGCAATAGATACAAATCTTGATTTCTCCAAGAGGACCAGATATTCTTCACCAGAAGACACCAGTAACACTCACAACATGTCAGGGGGTGAAGATTTACCTACAGTGACCAAAAGAAAAGAAAAATTCTTTGAGATGAGGGAACAGGTTCGCAAGGATTCTTTACTAAATATACCCAATGATCATGAAAGAGCTACAGAATTTCAATCAATTTTTGGGAGTGATCTGGGGAGAAAAGTAATTAAAGAATATCCAAGGGATTTCTCTCAGATGTTTCTCTTTTGGCATGAGGTTGACTTTACAGTCAGATACTTATCACAGAAATATCTTGGACTAGATCCTACAAGTTGGGACAGTGTATCTACGTGGACTTTGGAGCACGGTGTTTTCCCACTCTACATTCATCAAACATCTCATCTGCACCGTTTGTTTGAAGGAAGGTGCAGGGAATACCCATTCCACAACATTTCTCAAGCTTTTAAATCTGCAATAAACCACTTCAAACAATGGATACAGAAAGATCTTGACAAATTGGCACTAGGATTGGCAAACTATAGGCCAATATATGACAGCAAACAAAGCCATGTGGTACTAGCAGATATATTTTCCACAATCAAAGGCAATTCTATAACAACCCTAGAAGTTACCTCAACTTATAAGAAGTGGTCTCCAATTTCTTGGAAAATTACCCTGGATTGGATATCAAAGGTTCATCCAACTAGTCCCTCAATTCTAAACGTGCGAGAAATGAGATCCTCTTATGTCAACAATATAAAACAGCAATATAGTTTGAAAGACCGTCCATATAAGTGGGAGGAATTCAAGGAAGTGGTGTGCTTTTTGATTCTATTTCTACTACAGCATTTTTCTTGAACTAATGATTTATTTCTGTGTTATGTCTTAGTTCAAGTATCCAAAACCCAGGAAACTTCCATTTGTTTGGAAAAAAGACCTTCTAAGGAGTAATGAAAGCTCAATTGGAACATCATTGAATAGATAAAATCTTTGCATTAATACTAAAAAAAATGAAGTTTCATTGAAAGAAGGCTCTCCTCCAAATATATGATAACCATGTAGTTACCATTTTTTGATGTTTTCACTCTTTATCTCATTGAAACTCAAACCACTCTACTTTCAGCAGCAGTTGAAGTGCAGTTGTGCAGCCACTGGGGTATCTGCTATGCATATCAAAAAACTTATTTTAGCCTGTGAACTAAACACTAAAGGTTTAAACTCCCATAATAGATCTGGCACTGTACATCTAAGAATAAAGCTAGCCTTCTTGACTCTCATCAAGTTTTCATTACCATCTTTATTGTTTTCCTGTGACTTGGACTGCTCAATCTGTCTGTTTTCTATGTCTGGTCTTTTTGCTGAATTTATGTATTCAGCATTATTTTGAATATCTTTGGCTGATCCCATCTTACATAGCACTTTTCCATGTGGTGACCTGCATGGCAAGAATATGCATAGTGGTTCCACCATTATACTGAGAGACAAACAGGTAAGCTGTGACAATCAGGGACTGGCTACAGTGACAGCACAGACTCTGCAATGCAACCAGAACGGGTTAGGAGCTGTTGTATTGTGCAGCAATTCTGGTGTTGATCCCTTTCGGAAGCTTGAGGGAGTATATGTTGGGTGCCAAGAACCAGTCTTTAAGACACAAGACATCATACTGATCAAACGGAACTGGAAGAATTTTCTCTTACTTCAGTTGAAGTAAAATCAACTATTATATGTCATATGCATGGTAAATTCTTGTTCCCCTTTTGTCTGGTGCTGAGTGATTTTGTTTCAGGAAGTTGCACAATGAATAGGCTGTTGTGCTGACCTGTTCTCCTATATGGATTTCATGTGTAGCCATAAGATCAAAGTAGAAAACTCATAGGACAGAAGGGACATCATCTTCAAAACAATGAGCATACGAAGAATAATCCACCACAGTTAACTCATACCTGAATGAGTCTGTTGAGCTTCATTATCATAATGTTTCCATTAGGTGCTAGGTGAGTGGAAGGGTTCTATGGCCAATAATTTCACATGTATACTGGTTGGATGATTTATCTGAATGGACAAGAGGCAATATCGCAAGAGCTGCGCACTATATTGCAGTTGCTGTGCGGTTGCGTAGTGCTTTTGGGCGCCGCAATGGTACCACAATATATAGTGGTGCCAGCGCTCTGCAACCTGGGATCAAGAACCCCGGTTCTTGCAAAAACGGCACTGCAATTGTGGTTTTAAAGGAAAATTGCATGTAATTTTCCCAATATTTATTCATAAAGTCTATGTATACATGAACTCTCTGAAAATAAAAACATACAATGGCCATATCAAACTAAAATTGAAGCTCTGGAATTTGTAAGAGATTTGTTTGAAATGTGGGTTCAAAACAACCTACAAGATTTTTTCTTAAAGATTGGTGAAAGAGAGTATGATTATGATACCAGAAAACCAAAGGATGTCAAGAAGAATTGAAATCATCCAAAGGATCTGATCAAGTCATTTTCACAATTTAGAGGTTTCTAGTGAAGTAGATATGTAATTGGTCACAAATCTCTTGGGAAATGACCATTAGTTGGATGCTTGAGGTTCATTCAATTATGCTTCCAGTGATTGAGTTGACCAGATAAAGCTTACATGATATATATTCCTATCATAGCACAACATCAAATTTCAAAAAGTCATTCAATTTCATCTTGTTGGGGGGACTTCAAAGAATCAGTTAGTGGTCATTTGTTTTTTAACTCTTGCATTTCTTCAACAAATACCTGATTCATTGATCATGGATCTTAGCTTTTTAGTTTCAATTTCCTAAATCAAGGAAAACTCACATGAATCTTTTAGTAGCCTCAGATTCTATAGAATCTAAATGCAGCCCAAATTAATCTTCCTTCTCTCTGCATGTCAATGTTTATCTTCTCCCTATTGAGCTCAAGTGTGCCTATTCAGGGCAACAAAGCTATATTTCAAACAAAAGTTCATTAAAGGATAAAATACTCATGATTTTTCTGACTCTCGATTCTAATTTTTCATCTTAATTTCTCTCTCCTTATTAAACAAAAATGAAAATCAATTTTTTCCTACTCTTTACTTATAACAACAAGGTATATTCTCCAACATTTGTAACAACCCATATAGAAAGGAACCATGAGTCTGAGATACAAGATAGTGAGAAAAACAGAGATAGAGAGAAAATGATAATAAATAATGATTCAACAAAAAGAGTCAAACAAGAAACAAGAAAGAAATTATAATTCATATTCAACATATTCAATAACCATCCATCATTTTTCTTCCATAGATCTCAAGGGAACTTCATAACTTCATAAATTCATACACCATTTGATTTTGGTTTGCATTAACCATTCAAGATATCATTTTTTTGTAATCATCTATGATCAGGATTAGCCACAAACAAAATCGGTTTCTTAACTAAACCATGTAAAACCTTTTGATTTTTTCCATTTCCTACTTGAATTCCAAGACCTGAAACCGAACTTGAACTAGTAGAACTCAAAGGGTTTTCTTTTCCATTTTCAAATTGTTTAACAATCGCTTTAACCCCAAGTGTACCAGCTGTCAGTTTTTTATTCACAATTGGTAATGGTAAAGGTTGATCACCAAGTAATTCTCTAGGTCCAAATAAAGCATGAGATTCTAGAACTGGACTATTATCTACTGATGTGATTCTTTGTACTACGGTCATTTCAGCTTCAGCGGTTTGAATCATTGAACTGGTTGCAGTACGATTCGATGATTTACTTTGATGTTTTGATGTCTGACTTTCAACTTCATTGGAATTGATATTTGTTCTACCGTGTTCATCTACCGCCACTACATTCGCCTCCGGTTCAGGCGATGGGATTAATGGTGGCGGTGCTGGATCTCTGATAGGTTCAATAGATCGATCTACAACTTGTGAATGTTTTTCTTTAAATCGATCCCACCATGTCGCTCTTCTATCTAGTGGTTTAGGTGCAGGTAGAGGTAAAGGTTGTTGGGGAATAGGTGTGACAGGACCAGTAGTTTGTGATGGATCATGAGAATCAGGATATGTTGAAGCAAAAGTAAGAGCTGTGTGTTCGCTAAGTGATTCTTCTTCTTCTTCTGGCTCTTCTTCCCCTGCTCCTCCTTCTGGGTCACTAAATGGGTTTGGATGCCAATTCGATTGAGATGAAGAAGCATTGGAGTATTGTCGTTGTAGGTAGTGTTGATCTTCAAATGGATCTTCGAATCTAGCCACGTCTGGCATTGTCGAACTTCTTCCATCATCGCTCCACGGTGCAAGAGATGCACCAAGAAAACTAGTGGAAGTCCCAAATCCAATTTGAGATGATGCTGAACAGTCATCCAACCCCCGCCATATTCTTAATCCACCTCGAGTCTGAAAATGTTAAAATCAAACAGGTCAGCTTCCTGAAAACACAAGTAAATATCGAAAAGACTCACCGTTATCAATGGTGCAGCAGTTGGTTTTTCTGTCATGGGTGTGGGTCTAGGAAGTCTAACCCGATCAGCAAACCCATCCAAATACTTCTTCTTCCTTACATTCTGTTCTTCACCACTCAATTGACGATGATGAGGGTCATATAATGTAGCCGGTGTCGAATCCCAGATATCACTCTCTTCATCTGCCAACATATCAAACCTTTCTCTTCGTTTACGTTGAGCCCAAAAGCCTCCTATGCCTGCTAAAGCTTTCAATCCGGTTTTACCTCCTACTGCTGCTACTCCTATGTGAGGGGCATGTAAAGATTCATTCTTGAAGACTAATCCTACTTCGTCACCATCATGATCATCTTCATTGTTATAAGGTAGATCTGGACCATGAGCTCTTCTGCGATATTCTTCGGCTTCGATTCTACGAGCTTGTTGTTGTCGCTTTTGATAACGATGAAGGTATATTGATCCACCAAGGAGCGTTGCCGCACCAACAAGGGCTGCAGCGACACCGATGATAGCAGTCATCATTGAAGGTCTAGTAGTCTTGTTGGGAGTAGGTATCGGGATAGGTTTGACGGGATCGAGTGAGCCAGGGACTTGCCAACTAGGCGAATCGGTTTTCTGAGAACCCACACTTCCTCCGGCTCCCGCACCAGCCCCGGAGGATGACGCCGTGGTTTGAGCCGAAGGTGCCGACTGAGCAGATGCGATACTTTGACTCGGAACATATGTTGAAGTCCACTTGCCGGTATCGAGGTCAAAGATCGACGCTCCAGTAGGCGCAGGTAGACTACCATCAACCGGACCATATCCAAAGGTGACGATAATCCGTTGACCGACACGCGCCATAGAGTGACCCCATCGCGCTGATGGTGCACCTGTTGCCCCGGTGTTTGACAATTGGGACCAGCTGAGTTGAGTAAGATCAAGTATCCAAAGATCTGAATACACCTCAGAAGCACTGGCAGAAGCGCCACCAAAAAGCATGAGCTGCGTAGCTGAGAGTCCAACAACTGAAAGACCTCGGCGAGGTGATGGAATAGATGTGCCAGTTAGTTGTATGGTATCCCAAACTCCAGAGCAGGAAGACGAGGTGAGGTCGGGAGTAAAGCGATATAAGTTTTTCATATCAACTAGCTTGCCATCTCCACCCATGCCACCTATCACATAAAGTCGAACAACGTTGGTCGAGTCTATAAGAGTGACAGCTGAATGATCAAAGATTGCTTGTGGTGCTGGTGGACATGCTGACCAAGTACCGGATTGAGGCGAAGAGTGAGAAGCCGAGTATTGCCATAACTCGTCGAAGACTGCTTGACTTCCGTCAGCGCGTTGACCTCCGAGTGTCCATATTCTCAGTGAGTCGGGAGCACTTGCGGAGTTTGTAGAATGGCGAATACGTCGGATGGGTTGTTGAGCCCAGCCAGAGGTTTGTGGAGTGATGAGGACAAGATTAGATTGGTTGGAGGGAGACGAAGGTAGAGAGATGATCGAAGCGCTATCCGAGCCAGTGAGATTGGATGACGAAGAAGCGGATCCCCCAAAGGAAAGGATTGTAGTTTGATCTAGAAGTGGAGCAAGAGAGGAATATGATGTTGGAGGTGAAGCTGATGAATTGCTTGGTATCTGAGAACCAGAGAGGTATTGCCAAGGGGGTGAGTTGGCTGAAAAAGCTGAATCGAGCGTAAGATAGAGTAGATCGTTCGTGTCTGTTCAAGTTTGATAACGCGTCGATCATCAGCCTATATCCTTCGCGTGATGAAAGCAAGTTTAGAAAACGAGGAGCATTGTATGAAGACTGACCAGGTGCGCTTGAGTAGGTGTAGCCACCATTTCCTGAAACTTTTCCACCATAGACTAAGAGAGAATTGTCAGGTAGAAGAAGAGATGCCTGAGCCCATCTGTAGGAGAGAAGAAGCGAAGGTCAAAAATTGATTTCATGATATAATGAAATTAAAAAAAGATCACCGACCGTGGTTGAGATGCATATTGAGATAAATCAAGTTGAGCTAAGACAGCAGTGAATGCAGAGATCAAAGCGAATAAAGATTGAGGATGTGGTCTAAGTCTTGAATGAGACGATCTTGATTCCATTTATCGGAGAAAAGGGGATTGAGTGATAAGTTGAGATAGGAGTTAGCAGAATGTGAGATGAGAAGATGATGGTATGAAGTCTGTTGAAGTCTGTTGAAGGCCGGTGGTATAACGAAGAGATTGAGGGTGAGTTGGGTTGGCTGAGTTGTAGAATATCAGGAGATGGCAAGTGTTCTATCTGGTTGGTTGTGATTCTAATTTGCAATTTCTCAAGTTCTCAACTGAAGTGGTATTGCTGTATTGGGATGTTTGTTGATTTTTCTATCGATCAAAACAAACGCGTCCACGCGATTCTTCTTCACACGTGACTCATACACTACATATTCAAAGGGTGAAGAGATTTTTGCACTCAACGATTTACACTCATTATTGAGTGTAAATTTCGTTGTGTGCAAAAATTAACATTAGGGGGGGTAATGTTGAATTTTACACTCAATCTTGTCGAAAATTACAAGTGCAAAAAATGATGTGTAAAAAATCAAGTGTAAAATTACAAGGTGATGACCTTCACTTACACTTTTACACTCCATTTCTTACACAGAACTTTGAGTGCAAGACAAGTTCCGTGCAAAATTCGAAATATGGGGACCAATATCCACTTTTGCACCCATATAATTTACACTCATGATTCAGTGTGTTTTGTGAGGGTGCAAAACCCTAAAATGTCCCCCCACATATACAATTTTGCACCGTACCTCTTGAGTGCAAACAGATCTGGACTTAGCAAAAAAAAAAACTTAGGCAGACACCATTTAGTTGAAGCACCTCACCTCAGGCCTTTTCACCTCAGGAACTTTGAGTCAAACTTATCTCACGTGTCACATTGGCACCAGAGTTCCACCACTTAATTGGCCAATATGTATTTCAATGAGGCCGCCATAACAATTCAAAAACAACTCGAGAAAAAAGAGAAAAAATGGCTCTTGCGCTTACCTTCGCGATCATAGCCAGGAACGTGTATGTATATATATATATAAAGTAAAATCAATCAAGAAACAATGAAACGTGTATCAACCATTTAAAAAAACAATCAAAAGTATCTATTTCTTCTTCTTCCCCTTGGCCTTAGGCTTTTGTTCAGCCTGCTGACCCTCGAGGACCTTGGTTAAAGGTCCAACGGGTTCGTTAACCCGCGCTTTGGCACGCTTCTTGCCCTTCGTCACTTTCTTGACCGAGGAAGGGGAAGCAGACGGGGACTTGGCCGGGCTACCTTCTGGCGCGGTTCGCTTGTTACGCAGGCGGAGGATCAGACGCTCCGAGGTTGGGTTAGCTTCATTGGGAAGAGTATCTTCCCCAGCATCGCACTCTGCGCCGAAAGAAATAATCGGAGGTGACGGTTCAATAGGTTGAGATGCTGCAGTTCGATGGTCCACATCCACCTGGGCTGTAGGTGGTTTGAGAGCGCCTGAGATAGAGTGCATACTTCAACATCAGGTAGGCAAAAGATGACAATGGTTGCCAACACTCACTATCATCCATTTGACCTTGACCAAAAGCCCGCCTGGCTTTATCGCTTTGGGAGGACACCCGCGAAACGATGTCTTGCACATTCTCGGCCTCGTCTTGGATGCAAGGCTTCGAATCGACCGCGAGGGCCTCTTGCTGGCTGCTGACTACGAGGACAAATCAAATAAAGGTTAAACTTTGGCATGGCAATAGAAATTATCAGGAGATACTCACTCGCGGATGCAAAAGCTTGCTTCGCCATGTTTGCCGAACCTCGCACAGGTGGAACAGATGGAACAGATGGAGTGGCAAGTTTGTCAATCTGTTCGTCAAGACCTTCCAAGTCGCCAGGTCGAACAAATGGCACATTGCCAAGGGGTTCCGGATTCTTGAGGGTTATCTTGGCAATTCCACAATTTATGAGCTTCTGTTCGTCAATGTTGGGCTTGCGCGAGTAAATGACCCAGCTGGTGTAAGGTTGGGGGCCAGCAATCAAGGACAAGTCTTGACCTAGCAGCTGGGCACGGCCGTCATCCTTGCGGTCATCAAAGAACCACACCCCACGCACACCATCGACGTGTCTTACCAATTTACACCAGTAATGGCTGAACGCCCAGAACCCACGAGAGACAATTTCATAGTCGACGTTGTCGAGCCTTATCGTTTCAGGCCAGTTCATATCGCCCATGAAAGAGGCACGATCCTCATCGCCAAGGCCTCCAACACCACCTAGGAGGAAGTAGACGTTGATTGGCCTTTTTGAGAAGTCCAACCGACATCGCTCATATAACCGAGGAACTCCACCGGAAGGATCCAACTCTAGGTGAGTGACTTCGTTCTCACTCACCGCGTCCTCGTCGGCCTGGGTTGCCGTAGGTTGCCGGGAAAGTCCTTTGCGATGGGCTTTCAGACAAGTGGGACAGCATCTGGGAATGACTGAGAAGAGGCCATCGGTTTGCCAGGCAGAGAGCAGCTCGGTGACATCTGAGTATCTGATGTTGGCCTCGTGGAAGAGATCCGTCGTCAAGACAACCTTGGCTTTGACCATGGTTTCCGTTTCTTGATGGGCGCCATTGGCGCTGCATTGATAATCGCGAAGGAGGTCGTACGCAAAATGTCAACCGGCTGCGGTGGGATGCTTCTTGGACATTAGGAGATAATCCATGAAGAGATCGGCTGAGCAGAACGCGTCCGTGACAAAAGAGTCCGGCGACAACTGTTGGATGGCCGTTTGAAGAGACTTGAGCCCGCGAGATAAAACGGATTTGATGTGCGAGGCACGATGCATCTCGGATGACACCCGGGACGAGTAATGGCGGATGAGTTTCGAGGTGATATCTTTGCTCTTACCGGTGCCTTGGATCCACAAAGGCGAGAACGTGGGGAACAGGGCTTCCAGAGTGGCTGTTTCCCAGCACCGATTCTGCTTACCAGGTTCGTTACTGGCTGAGTAAGCTTGATACGAAGAGTGTGGATCTCGGTTAACATTCGCCGAACCAGCCGGTCGACCGAGCTTCTTCGAAGGCAGAAGCGCCTCCGTCGTATCCGGCGGCCGACCATCGTTAACGTCCGGGCGCCGTCTGGTGTGTTCTTTGGACCAGCCTAAGGTTTCAACTACCGAGTCCCAGTTGGAACCGTACTTCACCGGGATTCCACGGCGAAGCTGATCATAGTCGCGGTTGAGGGACTTCACAAACAAGAGAAGCTGAATGAAGCCTTGCATGATGGTGCATTGGCCGGACCTACAACGAAGTCAATGTGGATTAGTACTTAAATCCCAACTGACCAAGGGAGTAAAGTCACGTTAAGGAAGAAAACCACTCACGATAAAATGTAGTATTGACGATGCATTGATTCTTGCCCATTAGTGGTATCAGGCACGTCAGCCTCAGGCTCATCAGGAAGCGGAGGATCGTCCAAAGGAAGGCGACCACAGGCAGTAAAGAGCATTGAGTGAATGTCGGCGGTATTCCACCAGTCTAGCCAGGCCTTCGATTTAGGAAAGAGGCGAAAGATATGATCGAATTTGTCGCCTAAGCTTTTACCGCCGGGTTGAACTGGCTCTAAGAGATCGTAAGCCAAGCGTTTGAAATTGCCCTTCAAGTAAACGTCCCTGATTAGTCACATATAAACCCATGCCGGAACATGCGAATAAGTATGGTGAAGGCCACTCACCACTTGGCTCACATCGACAATGTTCCGATTTTTCTTGACCCGGGTGATGGACTGCCTATAATGCTCGTGACAACCCTTAAGCTTATCCAAAGCTTTGGCCGGATCCCTTTCGTTAAAGACGTCCATGTACGCCGCGATGAAACCTTTCTTCTGAGCCGCCGAGAAATCGACCACTTGCTGAGACAAGAGGTCCCGCTCGTGGAAAGAGAGACCAGCATCGTAAATTTGTTTGAGCAACGTGGTAAAATGGGCTCGATAATGATTGACGTTGAGCCCCCACATCCAAGTAAGCTGGATGGGGATCCAACGGTGCATGACTTCGCTGTACATAGACGTGGTAAGAAGATAGCCGTTCTTGAAAAATCGGTATGTGACGTCTGACAACAAGCCACCCGAGTAGACCTTGCCGAACTGGTCCCTTCGGACCAACTGCTCCGCCATCCATTCCGTCTGAAAGGTAATGTGGACGGCGTCGCCCAGAAGAGAAGTCGAAATCAATCGGAGGCCGTTTCTGTGAGTTTCAAAACCGAGTGAGTATTCCACAGCCGAAACCAGAAAAGCTAAGAGTCATTACCTTCCCCAATGCATGAGATCAATGATCAGGCGATCACCTCCTCCCTTGCTCTCTTTCTCGGGCATGAGGCCCTTCTCGACAAGGACCTTACGACGTAAGTAACCTAGCCGTCCACCGTTCGAAAACGCTGGGTGGATGTTGATGACGGGCGAAGTGACTGTTTGGCCTGCGCCGGCCTGTCCAACCTGAGAGATCCCATTCGCGATGTTAGTGTGTTGCCTGAGTTGTTGTACATAACAGCTGTTACCCACCTTGAGGACCAAAGGGCCGGCCTTTGGATTCTTCACAAGTTCTTCGGTCAACTCCATCATAGCCATCGGGTCGGCCTTCTTCGAAGCCGGCCAAGGGTGTTTGTGGACACCGGAGTGGCGAAGGACTGCCCAACCGGAATCTTTCTCAATATCAACTCGGCAGGACGTGTCATTGCATTCGGTCCAAAAGTGATTCCCGTTGCATTCAACAGCTGGACAAACTGGGTGCCTACACATGCGAAGAAAGTAAGGATCAACGGTGTCAGTTGTGGTAAAAGCAAGTAGGAGGAGGTGAAACATTAGTACTTACTCAGCAATGAATTCGGCTGCTTTGCCTTCAGCAGTAGGTGGCGGCCCGGCGTAATTGCAGAAGTCGTCATCGCACTGTAATACACCAAGACACTTGTACCATATTGTTTTCCAAGGACCCGTTTTCGAACCGTGAGATTTTTGAGTATGAGTGAAAGCCACATGCCCGAAGTTGATAACTGGTGCAATAGGATCTTGAACAAGTATAGTCTCGCCGTTGGGATAAATCGGATAGCCTTGAGGATCGATAGTGCAACCGTGATCAATGAAGGTCTGAAGCTTGCCCGTTGCCGGAACCGGGATCTTAAACTTCTTGCCTTTCTTTTTGGGCAAGCGTCTTTTGAGTTTCAACACGGGTGAAGGCGTTTCGGGTAGATGAGTGAGACCTGGTGAAATCGGGACCTCCTTCGGACTGGTGTCATCGAATGAAGCCATTGGTTGAGGCGCAGCAAGGCCTTCCAAAGAGCGGTCAGAATGAGTGTCAGACATGATGAGATGGCTGAATGAGGGTTTGGCGAGATCGAAGGCAAACGAGGTACGATTTTGATTAAAAAGGTATAACTGGTAGAGATAATGTAACAAATGAAATCGATGGAAGCAGTGAATGTGATAGGATTGATGAATTTGGGAGATACGATAAGTATGGTAAAGCTGCTGGCAAATCCAAAATGAAACATATAAGTCTTGCGGTTGAGACGGTGAGGGGATAGAAAGAGATAAAGAGAAACTCGAAGGCGTCCGTTGGGGTGATCCATTGGGGGTCCCAAGGATCAAACGCAGGGATGGAAGGGCCATCTTCCTTGGCTAGGTCGACCCGAATGTGAATCGAGATGGCGGTCTGAGAAGGAGGTACGGTAAGCTAAAGGTCCAGATCACATCAAGGATGAGGGTGAGGGAGTGGGATGTCGAGATGCCTTCGTCCTTTTGAGGACATTGAGGTTGGTGTGGTCGTGGTTCGTCGAGGTGTACGCCGGTGGAATGGAGGAAGGGAAGGTAAGGTTAGGGCAGCGTTGAGGTAAGGCCGGTCAGATGCATGTGGTAAAGTCCAATCAAAGAGCTGAATGCTTCTTTGTTTTGACGTGAAGGATATCGATGGTGAGGTGATGGTGGATGTGGTGATGACGGTATCTGCTCAAACTTAGCCCACATCCGATCGGTTATGTCGGTGACCCGGCCTATCGCCGCCAAACGAAAAGACTGGGTTCATCACCTGGGTTCTGTGTAAAATTCTATTTGGGGGTCGGTCCTTTGAAAAAATACACTGCGTGTATTTACGTCCAACTTTGAGTGTAAGACCGGCCGGGCGTAAATTTGCAAATCTGGGGCCCTTACAGATTTTTGCACGTGATTTATTTTGCCCTCATTATTGTGTGTAAGAAAAGGAGGGCAAAATTGTAGGGAGGTCACGTGTACATACATTTTTACACTTGATTTTTTACACATCATTTTTTGCACTTGTAATTTTCGACAAGATTGAGTGTAAAATTCAACATTACCCCCCCCTAATGTTAATTTTTGCACACGACGGAATTTACACTCAATAATGAGTGTAAATCGTTGAGTGCAAAAATCTATCGACCCATATTCAAAACAGTTCCAACACATGCTAATTTGATTCAAACTGGTTTTGAAGGGCTCCTTGTCTCTTCCAAATTCCCTGTTAGCTGACTTGTAACCTCTTGTAACCTCACAGTTTATAACAAGATCATGCATCACACAACAAGAGGAATGAACGGTTCAAAAAACAAATGTCGATATTATTATAGGTAATTTTATCATGACTTCTGCAAGATTTTTCATTCTAATCCTATTCTTGTGCAAATTCATGGAGAGTCAAAGAAGATTTACATTTCGAAGAGGAATTTAATCATTTTACAAGAAGTCTAACAAACAGAGATAAGTAGTTGACAAATCTTCAGAGTCCAGGCTACGTAACAATGGGTCACCAAGGTGGGCGCAACGCATACATCATGACATGTTGTGACTCTGAATAAGAGATCTGATAAAGAGAAGGTTACACGAGAAACACCATTTGCAGACGTATAATGATTGTTGAACAAAAGACAAGTTATATCATCAAGGCCACAGTGATTTGTAGAGCGTCATTTGCTCTCTTTCTGAAAAGATTTTCGCAACATGACAAGCTGATATAAATTTGGAGTACTCCAATTTTCAGGTAATCCTTCAATCCGGTTCTTGCTGCTGTCGTTGCGGAAAAACGGCGTCATTCGTACCGTACATAGATACTTTCATCAAGGCTTCCCTTGCACTGGAAACACCGAGCCGGAGAAAGACGGCTTGACATAAAAACTTTACGTTACAGCGATTGACCATGAAGACACGAACCCAACTGCGGTCCCCACTTCTCGCGAGGCCTCGAGTGAGGATGAAGACGCAGCAGTTATATGTACAAGGATTCGATCATCTTCCCACTCAATGCCTTGTCCCACAGCACAAGCGTACCATCACACTTTGCCAGGAGGGCAAAAAGAATATGAGAAAAGTGTTTGAACATGATTTGGATTTCGTTGGGAAGTCCATGATCTACTGTTAATGTAGAGAAAAGTCAAGTAAAGGAAAACAATTGACAATTGACAATTCAAAAAACGAAGAACTACATTTGTAGAAGAATGAAATGAAGGAGAGTTAACAGTTGGATCTTTAGAATAGTGAAAGATGTAGGAAAATCAAATCGAAATTGAGTGAGTAGATATATATAAGAAGAGAAAATAGATGATGATAAGATGCACTAGATGGCAAAGAGACCACCATGAGGGTCTTCGAAACATGAAGATAACAAGGATCTAGCTATTTTTGACTAAATGTGACGTTGAAGATCATAAATAATTTAAATAGGAGTAGTACAGTATGGTTGCAATGTTTTCAGTTGAATAAGTTAGAGTGCGCTACTTATCGTGCTGATGAATCTATTCTGCATCTTCATCAATAGATCGATTGCGATGACGAGTTCGAGATTTAGCAGATTTGGAAATCACATAACCACTCGATTTCATTTGAGCAATAACTGCTGCAGCGATTTGATTGATTTGTTGACTTGTGAGACCTGAAGAAAGGCAAAGAAAATATGATGATAGAGTTAGATCCAGATGAGGTTGTAGTTAAAGGAAGAGCTTACCAGTACTGCCCTTGCCTGATCCAGAAGCGAGTGAAAGAGAATTGCTAGAAGCAAGCTTGGCGGCGAAACAACCTCCAAATCGCTTATTCACACCTGGAAATCAAATAATTGAGCTTACCTCTGTGATCTATGGTGTAATGATTTAGGAGAGAGTTTTTAATACTGACCTGTACGACATCTAACGATACAAGCAGTCTGTGTCCAACCGCCTGTGCATTTTGCTCCGCTGTTGGGATAGTAAGAAAGATACGGATGAGCTTGGTATACAAGAAGATACAATTGATTCGAAGTTTATTCACCTGGGAAAGGTCATCACCACAGTCGAGTTAACACGAACATGAGGTAATATTCCAGAATTTCCAGCTTGGTTGAGAGTCATGGTCATTGGTTTGAATGACTTGGTGGTAGCATCCTTTGAAAATGAGTAATTTCGAATAGCACCAAGTCAATTTGTTTTTTAATTGTGAATAGGAAATGTAAAGAAAAATTACTTCGTTGTATTCACAGGACATTGGTCCACCACCATCACGATTGACTTGAAAGGCTGTGACCACAAGTGATCCATTAGAATAAGCCGCTGGTAGACCGGAGCCCTCAGCTATAAAAATTCGTGTCAGCGTGATTTCAAGGCGATGATTTCCGGAAAATTTTACTTACCTTGACTTAACCATGAAGTGACATCAACCTGACCCAATTCTGGTGTAGAACCACATGCTGGGTTGGGATGATCGGTACCAGTTTGAAAAACACCAGAATCACCTCCAGCCTGAAAGAATTAATCATATTTTCATCAGCGACTGTAAACCATGAAGAAGTCGAACAAAATGAAAGGGGTGTTGTGTGATTAAAAGGGAAGTGAGTCTCACATCACCTGAACCACCCGGTCTTCTTGGATATTTTCCATCTGTGTGCTGAAAGAAACAACCAGTTAGTAAGAATGTGTTATAAAAGAAATTAAGTGTAACTGATTGCATTAAACTTACTACTCCGAATGCATGTCCAACTTTATTGTTTGAACCATGAATGGTAATAAGCGATAAATGAGCATTGACATAAGTAAGCAGTCCGAGGACTTGCAATAGATTGAAAAACGTGAACATTATTTTTGTGAATTGATGTTTCTGTCTCAAAATGAAAGAAGTAACGAAATGAATAAAAAGAAATGATAGTGAGATGTGATCAACTTCAAAAAGTTCTTTGTTGCTGAGAACAAAGGTAAAATGAAAAAGAGATATTCGGATAGAATTTGAAAGGAAAAGTTAGGATTGAACAAAGGTGTTGATGATCAATTGACAGGTTTATATATGAATGGGATAATGATATCAAGTGAATTCTAGGATATGATGATTTTTTTGGGCATTCAAGCTTCGTTGTCAATGATGAGTCACAAAGTGAATGCGTTAATGTTTATGAATGAGTTTATTTAATAAATCCAAATCCGTCAAGCCGAACCGCAGTTTAATGATAGTGGTATAAGTTGGTGATCTTGCTTATGATTTGTTTTGTTTTTTTGCTATAACTTCAGTGATTTAATCGAGGTCAAATCGAGGGAACTTCTTTTACAGAGGTTTTCATGGAATTCCACAATGAAAGCTCAAACCTTTGTAAGAGTAACACAACTTGACCGTGATGACATCGATTCTTGCTTCGACTCACAAATCACACGAACCAATCCAGTTTAGCCAAAGTAAAGCTCATTTGACGACGGATAGAGTCTAGAGATGAAGAACAAGTCAATTCAAAACATTCGATGACAGTGATGATTTGATTCGGATATGAGAAACCGTACCAGTCCAGTTTTTATCATCGCATTTTGAAAGAATTGGCATCAGTTCTATTCCATCACTATATGATGAATCTTCAAATGTCTACGAACCTTCAAAAGACAACCAATGCTAAGTTCTATCCGAGGCATTTCACACCATTTAAAGATATATCGCTGAACAGGAGCAGTATGTAGCAAACACGTTGGTTTGACCGTGAATGGCAGCTCAGCATCTTGATAATTCCAGTGACAAAGGTTGAGAGTAAAACAGATCGAAGTGTTTTGAAGGTCATGAGTCAATTGGGTTGTATGCTTGCTCTTCTGAAATCGGTTTTGACGATTTTCAATCAACTCATTTGTAATCACAATCACCTCATCACAGCTTACGATGACATCATCGACGTTTATCATTCTAGCCAAACATATTTTGTCACAATATTCAAATCAATCAATGCTCTCCACCACAATTTGACTCCTAAACTTTTCTTCCACACCTACGGAACTCATTTCTTGATTTAAGGAATATTAAAAAAATGAACAACCTGACCTTTCATCCATCCTCAGTAACAAAATCTGAACGAGAAGAACTCCTTGGTCAAACCGGCTTAACTATCTGGTTTACCGGTCTCAGTGGTAAATTCACCCTTCACTGGAAAAATTATAATGAATGGAAACCTGAATTGATCAAATACTTCTCACAGGATCAGGTAAATCAACCTTATCAACAAAACTAGAAGAAATTTTATTGAAATCAAATAAGAGGGCATTTGTATTAGATGGAGATAATATCAGAAAAGGATTAAATTCAGATTTGGGTTTTACTAATCAAGATCGAAAAGAAAATATTAGAAGGATTTCAGAAGTTAGTAAATTGTTCAATCAAAGTGGTATTATTGTTCTTGTTGCATTTATTTCACCTTTTATAGATGATAGAAGATTAGTTAGAGAGTTACATCAAATCAATGAGTTAAATTTTTTAGAAATCTATTTAGATTCTAGTCTGGAAGCTTTAGAAAATAGAGATACAAAAGGACTTTATAAAAAAGCTAGATCTGGTGAAATCAAAGGTTCTTTGCTTTCACTTTCATTTGCTTCTTTTCTTTTCCGAGCCATACAATTTCAACTGATACTTTGTTTTGTTTTGATCTTATGCTAAACATTCAAGACTTTACTGGAATCTCTTCACCATATGAGCCACCTGTTAATCCGGAAATTCATATCAAAACAGATTCACTTTCAACAGAAGATAGTTTAGAAATCATCATGGATTACTTAAAAACTCACAACTTCATTTGAGTTCTCCAAGACAAAGGCGGAGACTGAGAGGTAGAATTAAGAAGACATGTTTTTGTTGGTTAATGAGAAGCATAATTGATTCTGTCAGATGAGATTATTTGAAATCTCTGAACTTATCTGATTTCCATCAATGTTGAGATGACTAAATGCCTCGTGGATACCTCAAAAGCTTCATCACAGCTGAATGAGTGCTTGGCAAAAAGTGTGTCAAGGTCATGTGAGTCAAATGCTCCGTAGGATATAGGAGTCCCAATTCTATCAGACCTTCTCTGATGATACACGTGAATTCTTCCTGTGAAGTGCAACACAGCCCTATGCGAACTATGAGATCATTGGAGGAGTGTACCTGGTTACAACGTTTCATCATTATCTTCCAGGGATATTCAAGGTCAGGAACAGGGAGAGTTGACGAACTTGCCTCTCGTCTCGCCTTCATTCAGCCATTATTTATATGATATCCATCAGAGATCTCTGGGCCCCTTTGACCCTCAATCCCTTTAAGAATTACTCTTGATTACCCTTTGTCATACCACTGAATTATATCCACAACAGCTAGTCTCCTGACTCACTATCCTTCAATTACTTCGAACACTGATTTCAACTTCTTTCTCTCACCCTTATACCGTGGTGACCTTGGACCCCTTCTTTGTTTCACTCGAAACTCAGATTCAACGTAAGCACTATATGTATACATCACAGTTGTCCCTTGTGACCCTGTGAAAAAGTGGCGTGCTGATCCCAAGGTGTTATGACACATTTGGCCTGATGCAGATCAATTCGAGGCGTGCCTTTTGAAGCCCACCTCGAAGCCCCGCCCCGCTTTGGCCATCTCAACTTTTAATCTCACATCAGTCCTGTTGACTGTGACTCACTCCTGATCTCTATTTCTCTCTGAAAGTGTGGATTGTTTAAAGAAGTCACCATCAGACTAATCCTCAATCTCTATCTTCAATTCTAATCTCTAATCTCCAATTCTTAATCAAACCTATCAAGAAGAACAAACCATTGATTTGAAACGATCTATCATCATGACTATCTCATCTCCATACTCAACCGATACTGAGCCAGAATCGATACTATCTAATGCAGATCAACCATATCTACCACTACAAACTTTACTTTCATCATCACCACCTACCAATTTACTCTTACTTAGGACCCGGTCAGAAAGTGAAGATCATCGAACCCCAACTGTCTCAAATCAATCTATTCCAAAGCCACAATCACCATCAAATTCAATCACACCAGTACCATCACAAGTCCCATTAGAAGCACAAACACAACTTGAGTTAGATTCAGACGATGAATTGGATCAAACTTCTCAACAAGTTCAGCATTCAACCCATTACAAAGAGTTTGGTGATATGGAAAATGAAGAAATCATTCAAGATGGTTATCTAGAGAAGAAAGGTGAACGACGAAAGACCTGGAAACGACGTTGGTTTGTGTTACGGAAGACTTCTCTAGTTTATTACAAGAACGATAAGGTAATCCCTTTTTCTATCTTAATATGTGAGAGAGATGACAAGGATACTGATTGATGTCTTACTTTGAAAGGAATATCGCCTGTTGAGAATGATTCCTTTGACTGATATCCATACCTGTGCAGAAGTTCAAGTCAAACATCATGATAATACCTTTGGAATCGTCACATCGGAGCGAACGTATTATGTAAGGGCCAAGACTAAGGCCGAGCGTGATACATGGATAAGTAAAGTAAATCAAGCGAAGGACTCACTAAAGAAAGCTATAAGGCAACATTCGGGTGATGACATCTTGATCAACAAATCTAATTCTCCACATCATAATACACCTATCATCCGCTCTGCTACCGTCATTGGGGATGGATTCGATTCGATTCGATTAGATGAATTCGGACTTAAAAAATCAGACGCTTTGAACGTGGAACCAAGAGACATAGCCACACTTGTCTCTAACACTACCTTGACTCGATCATCTAATCTGAACGCTAGCCATATCAATCGACCCACCCCATCAATCGTCTACTCACCCGATCCTTCGTCTACTGCGTCCGACTGTATCTCATCTGCATCAGATACAGCCAATCGTAGAAGGCATATACGATCCACTACTCTACTCTCGGACATCATGGCAGATCCATTAGCAAAACCATATCAACGTCGAGATCTTAGTTCTGGTAGCTCTAGTAACGATCCTACAGGTCATGATTTGACTTACCTTTCATCTGCTGTCGAAAATCTTTTGAGTAGTTCGGATGATGAGGATGAGGACGACGTAGCTGTAACTCCAGAAGCGAGCCAGTTCAATTCGTCACCACAGCCTTCCGGGATGGTCGACAACTATCCGTTGAGTATCCCGGCTGGTGAACGTAAATTGACTTTACCAGAAGCCAGTAAAACGATCAGTGAGTCCCTTCTTGTACATCTCGTCATTCTCAAACGGTTTCAACCTTTTTGAATTTTGTCCTTGCCATTGTGAACTTAAACAGTCCAAGGATATCTAATGAAACAAGGCAAACGAAAAACGTGGAGAAAACGTTATTTCACATTAACTAGTGAAAAACTAGTTTATTCACGAACGCATATGGTAAGCTGATAATTCCTTCTTTACCCTTTTCTGTAATCTCAACATTGATCGGTTTGAACACTAGATGAAAGTGGGCAACAGAGGAACGAAACAAATTTCAGTCCGAAGGATATTGGATGCTATCGAGTGTGATAAAACCACATCTTTAACATCGGATTCAAGTACAGGTGGTGGTACTGTCTCCAAGATTGAAGCAAGATGTTTCAAGATTATCACATCTGATCGAACTTATCTCTTGAATGCGCCTACCGAAGAAGATGAAATCAAATGGATTTCGGCCATCAAGTGTTTATTATCAACATTTAGAGATACGAAACGATCTGATCAGTGATCTTGGATCAGGAGAGGAGGAGGAGGGAGTCAGGAGAACTAAATCAGTTTTTTTGTTTTTTAGTTTTGTTTTCCTTTTTTTTGTTTCATGGAAATTTAATTTTTTCTTTTCATAATCAAACTCATTTTAATCATTTCTTCATGTTTGCATCAAATTTTTACTTTTTTCTGTCTCTTCATCTGTTTCTGAAAACAACAAACTATATTTCAAAATACATATCTCTCTACATTTATTTATTATTTACTATTTAATGATTTTTCTTTTTTTTTGATGAATTTCACATTTGTAAGTTTTAGAAATATGTGTTTCTTTCTTTCTTTCTTTGTTTTTTGTTTTTGCTTTTTTTTGAAAAAGAAAAATCTTGAACAATTCTTTTTCATAGATTGAATTTTATAAGAATATATTATTATTTTTTCGATCAAGGTTTTTTTTTGGTTTTTTGGTTTTGTATATTTGGATAGAGGTTTGAAGTTTGAATTTTGATTGATAAAGATTGAAAACCAGTTGACTAATTTTAAACATTATGTCTCTAAATGTAATAAACCAACAGTTTAAAGTCATAGATTCTTTTTAAAGAGTGTATTATGTAAAGTAGTTTGTGGAATTGTATAGACCATTTTCTTTGACTAGACACTATGCGCGCATGCGCGCAACAGGAGAACAATTTACAACTTCAAATGATTGTTTCCAAGTTACCTCTTACTACAAAATCAAATACAAAAACCCACTTGTATGGGTTAAAACATATCATGTTTAACCACACTTTGCTATCAAAAGCTTCCCACATTGTCACCACCAACTCATATTCACTCCCCTATACATATGGAGGTTAATCAATTCCAGGTTAAATTTCATGAGTACAATAAAATCCCCTATTTGACCATTATAAAAACCCTTATAAGCAGAAGAAGTTAATCTATTCCTGGTGACCCTTAATCAAGTGAACAAGACACAGAAAGCATTGATAACCCACCTCCAGATTTGTAAGGGAAGATTCCACTTCAACCCCCTTGGCTATCAAATGTTTTAGTGCCTCAGTAGTGTAAGGTTCCCGCGATGCAGAGTTGACAAAACATACAAAAGTTTCTGACACGTTTACTAATAAACTGAAAAACAATTGACAGTTAGATAGGTTTATTCTTGCAGTCTACAAATCGAGGGATGCACGGGTTTGTTGTTTAACGGGAATTGAGTTGATACAAATAAGCAAAATGGGCAAATATATTGGCAAAATAGTGACAGGGATAGGAGGAGGGTTGTCCGAAGGATGCGGAGACAAAAAACCAACAAAGCATAGGCCATTTTATTGCCTACTGGCTAAGCATATGTGGTAAAAATGGCGCGTGACCAGTGTTATAAATGCACAACTTCCAATCTACAAAAAAGCACAACTTCCAATCTACAAAGAAACAAAAAGACAAAAGACAACAACAATTGGTGGTTCAATGAGAATGAGAAATCAAGCAAACAAATCTCAAACACAATTAGGTGGACACTTGAATCAACAAACATGAAAGGCCAATGAACATGTGGTGGTGATTGGCTGAGCGGGGGGAGGCTAATTGGTTGACCATATGAACCAAGAGACCAAGAAACCAATACTTCATTGGGCAAAATACACGGACAATTGATTGAATTGAGTTACTTTTCAACTACAAGTAAGGAAAATTCAAATATATGTAGGAGTAATCAGAGGAAGGAAAGAAGCTATGTGGTGCCAAATGCAGTGATAAACAACATTTGCTTTTCAAAAAGCAAGAAAACTGCTTGCTTCAAAAGGTGTGAGTCAACAAAAAACAAAGTGAAATTGGACAATAGAAGATGTGGAAACAAAAAGTACATATTAGAGAAACGAACTGAACAACGAAATCTAAATACTTGGACCAAGCAACAGATGATCAAACTCGAGTGATGCGAGTAGCTTGCAACATTTTGTTATTTAGATAGATGAAAGAAACAGCATTCATAAATATATTTTGAGATTGTGAAGTAAGATAGTGATATATAGTGTCAAGAGACAAGTATGGCTAAGAATTCATTGTCTACATCATAATCTCCAGAGGATTTGCATTAAAAAGAGTGAAGATTTGAAAGTCCAAGTGCTTCAAGATAACCTCTTGTAAGTAATACTCAAAAGAATTCACCATGATGACTACTACAAATGGTGGATTGTGTAAGAGACTGGAAGCCCTGAGGTAAGCTGAGTCAGAAAAAAGTAGAGGATAACCCTTTCTTGGGTTTCTGATCAAACAAGGGTTGGTGGGTGGATTTTTAGACAGTAATTCAGAGAGAGAAGTGGACAGAAGCAAATCAAGGATTACATTACTTTCAGAGTGTCTCTCAAGGAAATATTTTCTCTCTATAGTGAGATCTTTTTTGAATTTTGCTGTCTTCTAATCATCAACAGTTTTTTTAGCTTCATCCCAACTCATTTTAAAGTTATCCATATACTCCTTGTAAAGACGTCCTCGCATTTGAATGTCTTCTAATTTCGCTTTCTTCTTCTGAGACTCTAGCTCCCGCTCGATTTTGTCTAATTCCAGAGTTTCTCTACGTCTCTTGAGAGTCTTTGTCTCATCTAAGTTTTTTTCTTTGAAATCCATTTCGGCTTGCTGAAATTCTAAAGTTTCCCTTTTAATTTTGAGATCATGAAGTAATCGTGTGTGTTCATCTTTTTCCGGGTTCAAAGACTTGGTAATTGCCTCGTTAAGTTTGCTAGACGATTCCACTTCTGCCTTTCTTGCATTTTGCTCGGCCAACATGTAATCTTTTTTGAAACTCCACTCGGCTTCGCGCTCTTCTCGTGAAGGTAAGTGATTAGCTAACATAGAAGAAGCCGGGCCTGAATTCACATGTGATGATTTACTTGCAACTAGACTTTGAGAATCAATGACTGAGCTTTTCCGAGGTTGAGAATGTCGAGTTTTCTGCACCGGTTGATCTTTTGATATTCCCACACGTTTTTGAGAGCTTTCATTAATGCTGCTGTCTTCATGATCACTTAAATTTTCAAATCGAGGAGTCTCAATACTTTCAAGCATCCGGTCAAAATCATCCTCGTTGGGATTACTAAGGTTGTCATCTAGTTGGTTCTTTGAATTGGCTTTTCCTTGACTCGGTAATATATCTTCGAGATCTATTGGTTGGTTAGACTCCTGTACATCGTCTGGTGAGTTGGCCTTTCTCCGTCCGAAAGCAGGGATCATCTCCTCAAAGTAAAGACATTTTTTTTTGACCATTGCTGGAATCATTAAACGTATGTTAGAAGAGTTTCTACTAGTGCTTAGAAAGAGGAGAACTTACACTCAAACTTCTCTTCAACCAGCGATACAAGCTCTTTCCATGCCTCACTATCAGATGTGTAACCATTCGCCTCCTTCTCAGCCAACGCATCATCCATAAGTTTCTGTTTTGCTCCTTGACCAGTCCCATTCTTGTAGTCTCGCGCCGTACGGAAATGCTTCTCAAGATCTCGAATCTGAAGAAACCAACAAAACCAACGTTAACCAAATCTGTATGTAAGCAAAAACACGAAAAACATAGATAAACATGCCTGTTGCTCGACCTTTGTTGAACTGATATTTGAAAATCCGTTCTCAGCAAGGTATTTAGAGATGTCCTCAGCCACTTTGCCCTTCTTAATCGTCCCACCTTCACCCCTCCACCAATCAAGACGGAACCCATCACCTTCTGGCATAGTGAGCCATTCGATCAAAAGAAAGAGGGAATTCTTGCCCTCCTTGTTGAAGTCAGTGCGCCACTGGACTCGACCACGGCCAGGGGAAGATGGCTGATTGTTCTTGTTCTTCGCTTTCGAATCCGTTTTTTTTCGGGTCTTTTTTGGAGTATGATCAGTTTGAGATGTTTGAGGAACTGAATCTTGAATTTGCGATGATTGATGGTATGACATCGTTGGCCAAATAGAATGATTGTTTAAAGCAGGAGAGAGATGAGCAGGAGAGAATTGCTGGTGGATCGTAGGAGAGAATTGCTGATGGATTGCCGGCAAGATATGTGGATTGATAGTAGGCGAGACAAAGGTGTAAGAGTACCCTCCAAGTGGAGGAGCTTGCCCTGCAATCAAAGGGTCTGAAGGAGTCCTGGAAATTGAATTGGTTCGAGATGCAGGCATATGAGCCATGTGAAAGATTCGTGGCTATAAGAAGGTGAACTTTGAAGTATGAAAGATACAGGAGTACAGGTGTGTGGTGTGCACAAAGTTTCCAAATTAAATGTGACATCCAGAAACATCTTGGAGATGTCCCAGAAGTTTCTGGATGTCGGTTCTTGACACTTCTGGGACCCAAAACACGAGTTTTGAATACCCCTAATGTCATCTATTCCATTCATAGAGAAGGCAGTGTTATGTATGAATCTGGTGCAGTTGACATATATTGATACAATGTTTGACTTGGCATGATGTAAATAGAAAGGGGATGCATGAGGTGGATAAAAAGTGATAATTCAATAGCCTTCCAATTCATGTACATAGAGCCCAATCTCACTTCATCAATTTCTGATCAGAATTACAGCCGTTTCAGCAATCATTGGTAACTTTCGAGGTGATGGGTGTCGCCCAGTTTTAACTACGGTTTAATTTTTGGTCCAAAACTCAGTTTTTTTCAGTGTCACAGGCCTAAACCTTGTTTTGGCTCCTGCAATATGCTTTTATCTCACGGTGGGCATGGTCAAAAAAGAGTTTTGTCGAGTTTTTGCCAGTTTTGGATTAAATCTCGACACAACACAAGAGAAAAAAAAGTTACCGTTGATTCTTGAAACGGCTGTAGATCTGACAGAATTCAAATCATCTTCAGAATCTGCTCAAGCAGATGGGTCTGTGATGGTTACATGGTAAACAGATCATAACAAGTTCTACACATCAGAGAAATCTAAAAATGCAAATTGCATGAGACTCACATTAGCTTGTTGAACAAATCTCTTTGAATTGAATTTTATGTGGTAGGACTTTTTGGGTTGGGTTGTAGAGAGCACAGACATTTAGTCCAGTCAAGCTTGACCAATCTTGAGCACAAAATAGTTTCAGAACTTGAGCAGTTCACAGTCAGGCTTATCTGAATTGTTTGTAGTTTTTCAAAGAAATGATCTTACAAAAACTGATGTAAAAATGTGTCAAAGATGCCACAAAGTACATAGGATATGATGATCTTAAATGTGATATATTATCTGATTAAAAATTCATTCTAACAAACACATCCTCAATTTTTCTATGAATTTTTTTATTCATGACTTCGCATATGTTCATATGTCTCCCTGTGACAAACTTCATGGATGATGTGTCCAATTAACTATTGATAGGATTGGCAATCTACTTGGTAAGACCTACAACAGGAAGTTTTAATCCCTCATCAGGTTCAGATTGGGCCTGACTGCCAACTGAGGTTTTGCTCTGACCAAAATGCTTTGATGGCTGATATCAATTCTATTCAAAGTTCATTGATCCCATTGTCTCCATGTGTATGTGGCATGCATGATGTGGGACGTGCAAATCCATTATTTATTGGCAAAGGATGTGAATTCATGAGTACAAGTGATCTACTGAAGATACATGCACAAACAATGGCTGGGGAGATTGTTCTCCAGCGTGTAAACTGTGGAGCTGTCTACGGATTCGGCATGAATGTTGGTGTTGATCAAGTTTTTTTTAATCAAAAGGCCTCTTTTGACTCAAAATGACGTGGAGGTACGCATATATTGGCAAACACATGATCATGAGCCAGAAAATGAGATTCACTGAGACGTCCTGCCAACCCTCAGTATTAAAACAGCCATGTCTCGGTACTGTACATACATACGACTTTATAACAAGTACGGATCCGGGCCTTGTTATGCCCTCAGCCTTTATGTAGGGTCAGAGGCGAGAAGGGCAAGAAGGAATATCAGAACGGCACCATAAACCCCCATGGAGCACATTGTTGATCCTCGTCCTCTTCCGCAGAAGCATCCGCTGAAGGATATTGGCTATGGCTCGGTACCTTTCATGATCATTCAATCCAACGAAGTGTTTCCCGACTGAAACTATATGCGATTTACTCTAGGTGGCGGGTGTATGCTCAAAGTTATTCGAACATCCGTTTGATTTGGTCAAAGTTCGTCTTCAAAGTCAGCCGCTTGATCAAGCCTTACGCTTTCGAGGCCCATGGGATTGTTTTCGACAGACAACTGCTCAAGAAGGAATTCGAGGCTTGTATCGAGTTCGTGACGTCATTTGGGCATGTTTTGGGCTCATGAGGGATTGAATTCTTGCTTTCATTCCACTGACACACGATCTCAATTTGGCTATGGGTTCCGACTTGAATATAGGGAGTCAGCATGCCTGTGATCGGTGCGATGGCTGAGAACGCAACACTCTTTTTAGTTTACGGTCAAGTTCAGAAACTCATCCGGCATTTGACATCAGATTCGACCAACCCAACGCCGTCCAATACTCCACTGCCGTTAAAGTATGTGGCCCTGTCGGCCGCATGTGGTGGTGCTACGACAAGTTTCATTTTGACACCCATTGAGCTTATCAAGTGCCGAATGCAAGTCCAGCAGCTTGGTCATGTGCCTAGTCAGCTACCCAACATCCAATCATCAAAACCACAACCGCTTCCAGGACCTCTATCGATCATCAAATCTGCCTTAGCGGATGGCGGAGTACGGGGACTCTGGCTAGGACAAACCGGAACCCTATTAAGAGAAACGGGGGGATCGGCCGTCTGGTTCTGCACCTTTGAAACTATGACGTCAGCATTTATCAGTCAACATCAAGCAAAGCGAACCGGTCCTATGAAAGATGTCACAAAATCAGATCTCTCTTCGCCAGAACTCATGATATCTGGGGGGATTGCCGGAATATTTTACAACGTTGTCTTTTTTCCTGCTGATTCGATCAAGAGTGCAATTCAGACTGAATCAGAACTCAAGACAGGACCATCCAAAGCCATGGCAGCTAATGAGAAGTCACGAGGTTCATCGAATTTGGGAAAGCAATTGTGAAGGCGAGAGGGTGGAGAGGATTGTATGCTGGGTGTGGGGTAACTTGCTTGAGAAGCGGGCCTAGTTCAGCTTTGATATTTTGGATCGTGAGTCGCTTGGAGAGTAGATTTGATTGAAGAGGATCAAGAACACCGTATGACCAGATGGACTTCACTCGTTTGCCATATTGTTTGGCTTCAATCAACATTGTATCGCTCTACATAAGCTTGAGCAGCACTGTATAGATTCCGGCTTGTACTTTTTAGACCTTCTTTTCCATTGTTTCCCGTGACTGTTGGCTTTCTGCTTGCGCATCCGGTTGTCTCCGAGTCCTGTTGGGAATTGCAGATTACTGGAAATTTGTGTCAGCTCCTGAGCCGGGTTTCTGGATCACCGGCTGCAAACATTTCAGGCTGAGCAGGCTCATCCGGCTGAAGCGGACTGAGTCCCGCGGTGCAGCCCGAGCTATGTGTATGCCCGGGCAGGCCCGACGTGCTACACCATCTCACATCCCGGCCCGGGTCACGTGATATCGGAAAGCTCGCAGGCTGTATTCAAGGCATTGTACAGGGTACTTCTGCAAGTAGGGTTGTCCGTTCGAAGCGGAGGAAGCCCTAAAGTAGACCTAAGTATGTCAGTCTCATCAACCATGTGCGAGGGCAGGACTGATTGGAGTATTGAGCATAGGGTGTGGAACACGAGTTTTGCAACATACACCAAACCCCAGACGCCCTTCTCCTCAAGGTTCAAGAACGATGCCGGGCGTAAGTGGCTTTTTAAACCCCCCACTGACGCACCCGTACCGCACTTCAATCGGCCGATTTCACGACTCTGACTGATCTCTATTGTGTCTTGACTCTTCACGGCGTATTACAAACCATTGATGGCGATTTGAACCTCCGAACGTGGATCGGCGATGCAGCCCAAGCTACACACTCCACCTACCTTCCGACGCTTCGTCGAGGTCGGACGAGTGGTGCTCATTGATGACCCATCATCCCCATCCAACGGCAGATTAGCTACTATCGTCGAGATTGTGGACCACAGCCGAGCCTTAATCGACGGTCCTACCACCTCCGTTCCTCGCCAGGCAATCGCCTTCCGTCGGGTCATCCTCACTCCATATGTCCTCAAAGGTCTTCCCCGGGGCGCCCGCAGTGCCACTCTTGGCAAGGCATTCGAGAAAGCGGAGGTTACCAACAAGTGGGAAGCAAGTAATTGGAAGAAGAGCATTGATGCTAAGGCTGTTAGACGATCGCTGACCGACTTCCAACGGTTCGTGTCTTTCTCATTCTTCAAATATCCATCCTCAGAAGACATCTTGCACCATACTGATACCTAATAATATCTAATTGCTCCGCCCTCTACTGCTCTTTGTTATGTCATAAACCTACTGTTTCATTTTTGTCAATTAGATTCGAAGTCATGCTGCTCAAAAGGCAAAAACGAGACATCATCGGCAAAGGCCTCGCCAAAGCAAAGAAAGCCAATGCATAATTATCTTACTATCATGCTATCATCTTCGCCCCGCTGTCCCAATTACTGTTCACTCGGAGTTGACCTGCTCTCACTACCCACGCATGGCTGCCCTTCGTCCCCATATGTCTCAATACAAGCTGATGGGTTTCTGTCGGATGTTACTTGTCTTCAACGTCTCCGCTTTATGATAATACTCCTACATTTTTTATGCCGGCTATCATAAACCATGCTTCATGTGTTTTATACTTGTACTTGCACCCGGGAGACGTCTCAATGACCGCTACCTGTCAGTGAGATCAAGGCTGAACCCAGCTTGCCCAACCAAAACGTCGTACATCATGTCTTCGAGTGAGAATACCTGGCCCTCTGAGTTTTGTGTCTGTAATTGTGTCACGGGCCCCCTTTTGTCATCAGTTTGACTTCATGTTTATGTCATGGTGACCCTTGCAGGACCACCGTAATATTATCAACATCTTAACCTTATCAGTCAATACGTTCGTTGACTGAGCTTTGAATTGTGGTGTTTCAATAAAACCTGTAAACACATTTGAAGAAAAAGGCAAAGAAAGTAAAAGGTGAGGGATCAGCAACTGCCAACTATTGGGCTGACTCTTCACTAAAAAGATGAAGTGCAGACAAATGACAAATTCTTCACTTGGTACCCTCAAGTGAAGACTGCAGTTGGTTGACCTAAGAGGGTTTGATGCCAGTGTGAAGGCTGAGCTGTCCTACTAAGGATCTTCTTCTGAGCTCTGGTTGATCTTACAACTTTGGAGCCTGCAGTACCTTATACTCTGAAGCTTCAGGGGTGCCATAGTGTACTTTGGACTCTTTGAAGAGGATCCATTTGTAAATTCCAAGCTTGTTCTCTTAGCTGCACCACAAACCCTCAAGATTGGTTGCCCAACCAATGCCAGAAAATGATTGGGCAACCGTTGTGGAAATCAAATTCAATGATGATATCTATATCTCATTTCTTTTCATTTATCTCACTTTGAGATTTGGAATCATTAAAAGTCCCAACTTTCAAATGAATAACTATATTTCAATAATAGTGATATTTTCCCCTTAGTCATATATTTCACTCACTCTTCAAAATATATATTCTCTGCACCATGCTAAGAACAAAACACATATTAACATATAAGATAAAGCAAGACTTCTCAATATCTGACTATGGCTCATTTGCTTTTGGAGTCAAGATTATCTTCAATATTTAATTTCATCAAGTATTAACTACCCTATTACAACATTATTCCATATCAACAAAATAAAATAAACAAAAGAAGAAATGCTTCAAAACACAAGAAATCAAAAGAAATGAAGAGGAAGGCTCTGAAATCGAAATTGAAATCAGAAAGAAGCTTTAGTCAGTATAAGAAGAATGGACTAGAAAGAAAAGAAAGAGGAACTCACTCACAATCATCAAAGGATTCAATGTGATGGGACTTCAAAATCAAATCTAAGGAGCCTGTGAACAATCTAGAACAATCATAAACAGTGCCAAAGGAATCAAGGCAATTCAATAGTTGAAAAGAGAGAATAATAATTAGTATCATATAGAGTGGGAAGGAGATAAGAAGTTGAGAGCAATTTACCTCAAACTCACACAATCAAAGGGAAAAGTCAAAATCAAAATTGAAAAGCAGTTGAATGGCAGTAGTTAGATTGTATTGAGTTGGCATGAGAAAAGAGAAGTAGAAGAAAGGAACTTACCTGGAGAGAGAAGAGCTAAAAATCGAAATTGGAATTGATAAGTATTGAAGGAAGGAGTTAATCTGGGAGCGACTAGATTAAAGATAAAAGAGATGACATCATTAGCAATAGAAAGCAGAGATAGCATGAGAGAAGTAGAAGGAAATGAACATACCTGGTGTCAATAGGGCTAGAATCGAGTTGGATGAGAAGGACTTGGCATGAGAGACGCTCGGAATCAATCGGAATCGGTCGGGTGAAAGAGAAAGAATCAGTCAGAGTTTTGGGAGTTGAAGGTTATATAAGGAGGGACTTTTGAAGGGAAAGAAGAGGGGGGATCCATCTATCAGATCGCATCTGTGTGTTTGAGTATCATCGTGTAGTGATTGTATCGGAATGATTGAATTGTGTTGTGATTGAGTTGTTCAATCTAAAAAGTGTGACTTCCGGAGTGTCTTGGTGTTTCAAAAGTTGAAGCAGTTTTTTTTATTTAGTTAGTCAGTTATCAATTAAGAGAAGAGTGATCTAAAGAAAATATAAAAGACTTACTTGAATCAAGAATCGAGTGTTATTGAAAGTTGTCTTGGTTGTTGAAGTTGCTAACTTAAACCAAGCCCGATCGTGCAAAAGCTCACGGTAACCTGAAGCCGAGGCACGAGGGACTTGCACATTAAACGACATCTCTGGCGTGACCAATAGCCGCAAAAAGTGAAATCTGGGTCACTTTTGGATACATTCCATCCTATCTCATTCAATATTACTTTGATCTTATTTCTGAAACTGGCTGGTATGAGCTCAGCATCTTGTACTTAACTTCTATTAGAAAAAAAGAGAATGTGTGTGGCTAAATTGTGGGAGGATAAATAGGGTTAGAAAGGTTGAATATCCTTGGAAGGGGTAAATTCGGTTTATGGGTAAAAGTCGTGTAGAGGCGGAAGTGGTCAGAATCGTCCTACGTAATTTTTTCATAGATTTTTTTCAGGTTGAAGGCAGCTTTGCAGCATCTTAGTTTCATCTGTCCTCCTAGGCGGTGATTCTTACCTTCTCCGTCTCAGCCTACGCTACACTGCGTAGGAGTTCTACACCGTTTTGAATTGTGGTGTAACAAACAATTTTGACACTGTACTCCACTGTTTGGTATCCAAACCAGGGGTAGAGCTCTGCTTCGAACATTACTTCAAGTGTGGTTGCTAAACCATTTCCCTACCCCTACTGCCAGGGCATTTTACAGTGCATCTTTTTTTGGAATTGCTTCCAATCTGGCTCTGGTGCTCCATCATGTCCTTGTGGCAGTCACCCAACAACGAGCGCACACGGACTGCCTTTGAGGCACAAAGGCGACTCGTGTGCGCTCGTTGACAAGCGAAGACCACACGGGTGTGGTGCTCATTTTAAGGGTTACAAATAACATTGCAGACAGCCACTTGTTCACACAAATACAATGCAAGACAAGGCAAAAAAGAAAAAAACAATGAAAATGAAAAAGTAACAAAAATTTATTCTTATGATTTCGTGAATAAACAGTGGATGTAGGAGTGTTGTTTGGGTGGAAATGGAAACTTTATAGAGTATATAAGCATCATTGCTCAACTTGATCCTGTGTCTTACCTTCCGCCCTCTTCAGTTAGTCCTCTCATTGTGACAAAGATATATTTCAGACTGGCTCTAAAAATACTTTCTCAAATTTCTGAGTCTATCCAAAAATGCCCATCCTGAGATTTGAACCTAAAAAGTGACCAAAACTAAAATAATGTTTTTACAAAAAGGTTGGAGTGTCAGAAAACAAGTTCTGGTTTGAAAATGTCAAATATGAAATTACTGGCACATCATCTTCCGCACCGCCAACATAGATGCCTCGGATTGAAAAATCCAAGGCATAATCGGATGGAAACCCTCGGACAGGTCTTGTCCGAGGATTTGTCCAAGGTATTTTTTGACGCAAAATAATACCTCGGATCAAAACCTCGGAAAGGCTTTGTCCGAGGATTTGAATCCGATGATACCTCGGATTTTTCAATCCGAGGCATCTTTGTTGGCTGTGCTGCAGGTGATTTATAATCATGATTGGATGATGGAATGAGTTGAATGCTAGTCAGGCAAGTGAAACTTGGTAGTAAATCTGATAGAGTTGGTTTAGGATTGTCATTAGAATTGAGATCTAAATGATTAGCAGAAGTTGATGGTAAGAGTGGGAGATGTTTAGAAGTACTAGGTATGAGGAAGTGAGATAGGTGTCCAAAGAGATCAAGAGACAGCCATAAAATTGGAATCATAATTTGTTGATAGAGACCAATAGCCTTGATGATTGAATAGAAAAAAGAGGTGAAGTGTTGTTTGAATGTTGATGGCAATGATGAGATTGAGGAAAGGAAAAAAGTCAATTGATGGTGTCAGTTGAATGGAGGTGGAAAAAAATTAATTGAGTTTGAACAATTTGTTCTTCCAACCAAGGCTTTGATGCAGTTGTTACCACAGCCAAGCTTTGAAGTGCTGGATGACACGGCCTATCAGAAAAACAGCTGGCCAGCTGTCCACTCTCCCAACCAACCCACCTCTGTGATTCCACCCCTTCAAATCATAGGACAAAGAGTTCAAAATTTTATTCAGTCATTTATAGATGCAGCATAAGTACTTGATGTACCCGATCAGATTAAGTGTCTTGTTGAGAAAAACCAATCTTGGGAAGAGAAAATCAGAATACTATGGGATTGGGGGGAGATGGTAGAGCTGAGTTGTTCAAAACATGATACAGCCAACTGTATCAAGTGTTTTTGTCAAGAGATTCAATGAAGGGCAAAGGAAATTGAATTCAGGCAGTTTGAGATGACAGACTGACAGAGCTGGGCACATGGGAAGAGCGGGAGGCAAGTGGTGAGCCGGCTGTTTTGATGCCAAGCTGTATTGTCTTTGGATTATTCACAACTGTTGACACTACAAGAAACATAACATTTTCTGGGCAGAAAATTAAATTATTTGTATACAAAAATCTGGAAAGGTCAGAAACAGAGCAAAAAATGTGAAAAAATATGCATCCTGTTCCTTGGTATGAGATCTCCAATCTGCATATTTTTCCGTATTTTTGGGGTTCATATTGGTGAGTGTACTAACAATAAACCCTCATAATCACCAGATTACCACCTGTAACAGATGCTGGAATTTGGCTGATCAGTGCTGAGAGAAAGTTTTGATTACTATAAAACCCCATAACTTTGTCAATTCTGGCTCAAAACACTCGATTTTGGGTGCATTAGAAAGCTGAATTCCTGAACTACAACTTTCGTATTGACTCAAAATGTGTAATCCCAATGGCTGACATTCTATTCAATGATATGTGAAATTTGATTTCATTGGGGATATCTTTCTTTTCAGGCCCGCCACGTATTTGGTTCATTTATGAACTATCTTCAGGCAAATACCAGCTTCCAATGCACTCAAAATCGAGTGTTTTGAGCCAGAATTGACGAAGTTATGGGGTTTTGTAGTAATCAAAAT